ATTCTAGATTTGAAGCTTTCGTGACTGCAAGGATTCATATTCTTTGATTTTTTTCAGTAAAGTCACGTAGGTAAAAAATTTAAATTAAAATTTATAAAAGTAAAATAAAAAAAAAAATTAAAATCACGACGTTTCGGAGGCAACACAAGCTTCCGTCTTCAGGTGGAACCGTCACAGCACGATAGCTGTACTTGATACGATAGCTGTACTTGATACAGCTATCGTGCTGTGACGGTTCCACCTGAAGACGGAAGCTTGTGTTGCCTCCGAAACGTCGTGATTTTTATTTTATTTTTTTATTTTACTATTATTAATTTTAATTTTTTATCTACGTGACTTTACCGAAAAAACCTAAGAATAGGGCCGATCATGGTGACAATGTTGACGATGACATCAGCACCCCATTGGTAAACACCGACTGTGTTGCATTAAGATGACTCGGGCATTTTGCACAAATCACGAAATGTCACTTAGTGCAGCAATGGTGTTGTACTGAGATGGGCACAGTGGCCTATGCGGTCATCCGGCGTTTTGTAGACGGGGGACGGTGGCTCACGCAGAGGTTTGCCGCACGCGTGAGACTCCCACCTCCAGGGAGAGGCAGGTGAGCGGCTCGCACAGGAAGTAGGCTGCTGTGTGGATGTTTCGGCATTATCTCCGAGCTGACATGGGTTGTTGTCTCTCAAGGTACTCTGGTTTCCTCCTTTATCATCATCCATGACCAATCCACTGCTAGATGAAGGCTTCCCCAAGCGTGAACCACCTCTCAGGGATTTGCTATCGAACTCATCCAACCAGCACCTGCGCACGCGCTAATTTCGTCGATTCATCTCCTCGGTGGAGATCCTCTAAAACATATTCCATTCTTTGGCTGCCACTCCGTAACAATTCTTGACCAAAATGTAAAAGAAAAAGCAGCCGTCAGTAGATTATTGAGACGCAGTTGACGCTTCCTGGAGTGAGTGTTTGCCATCATCATTCTTAATGGCTGGCTCGTTGTGTGTAACGCGAGAGTAAGCAGTACGTCGCAGTCTGTACAGTTCAATTAATAAAGAATTTCAATCCGTGACCTTGTAGGCACCCGTTATGGTATTCAGTGCAGCCGTCCCGAAGTCAACCACGTTGCCTCTTAGGGGCCTCCAGTGGAGCCAAAACGGCCACAAAAGCCAACGGGAGCCTCCGTTGTTTGGACAACATGGAATTCCACTCCCGATGAGCAAACACATTGCATGTTTCAAATGCTAATCTTGCAGGAAGAAAAAAAAAACTCCCAACAAGAGCAAGAAAAAACACGCACAGATCCAAGGCCGTTTCACAGAGCAGCAGTGATTTTTGTGCATTCCAACAAAGCACGTGATCACAGAATGTTAAATGTCATTACCAGACCATTGGCTGCACCGTTGAATTATACACCAAGACCATTCGACGGTGAAATATTGGCCGTGGAAAATGTTGAATTACAGATGAATTCAAACACTAAATATATATTTTACATTTTAAAGAAAGGTATTGGTGACCGAGTGGACTGGTGTCTACTTAATGTGTGAAGAGGAAGCGCATCGAGACGGGGATTTGTGTCAATAGTCTCAGCATTAAAGGCACAGTCTTGTTGAAGGAGGCCGGGTGGCTCAGCGGTCAGAGAGCTCAGCTGACACCGCTGAGATCTTGGGTTTGAATATCCGGGCAGCCACCCGTGTTTAAACCGTGTTTAAACCGTGTTTAAATCGTGTTCGCAAAGTGTACAAAATCGGTGGTCACATCCCGGTCACCAATGACTGCACATACACAAAAAAACAATACATGTTCAACAAATATATACTTAATTTGCCTACATTCCAGCTTTGGGAATTATAAATACCAGTTTAACTGTAATGTGGTTAAATAATCTCATAAGAGAGTACATGGAAAAGTAAATACCCGTGCTAATTAAAGATAGAGAGACGCTTCGAGGGTTTCCTGTGATTCGCATGAACAATCTCTTATCCGACATACAGGGGGGCTGCACTACTCTGTGAGATTTACGAATGGATCATTGTTTTTTCACACGATTCTCATAGTATAACTGGAATACACGGGGTAGAGGGATGTGACTTTAACAAATGGGCATAGTCTTGTGAGCAATTTGACTTGCAGCCACAGTACCTGGTTTGTGTGGGTGGGAGTAAATGGGCGCGTGCCCTTTCAAGAAACATTTTCATGGAAGTATATTATTATAGATGCGACAAAGACGTCGCGTTGTTTAAAGCCATTACACCACTGTATTTACTCATCATGCCGTGTGGGCGGTTTACCCGTTGGGTCATATGAACGTCTGGTCACAACTTGACTGTTGCCAACATGTAAAAAAACTAATATCCCCCATATAGCTTCAAATACTGTTTGTTAGGGGAGCAAGTGCCGTTAGCAAGCAGCGCCTATGAAGGCCGAAACGACACAGCACCACACCCGACCGCCTTTGTCTCCCCCAGCGGCGATGTTTTTTACTCATTTGAGGCCCCGTCGACCTGGAAGACGGGCCCATGACCGGTCCACACGCACGCACGTGCACAGCGCATCTGTAGCAATATCTGGATGTGTGTCGCACTCCGTGTGCTTGATTGTAACGCGCTACAACACTGAGATATGCACCCGCCCGCGGCCCGTTTGTTGCACGAGAACTGCATCCAACCTTCTGATTGTTTCAACTGCAAGGCGCGGGGGGGGGAGAGGTGGAGAGGGGGTGGAGACGGGGGTGTAGAGGGGGGTGGAGAGAGGGGTGCAGAGGGGGGTGCAGAGGGGGGTGCAGAGGAGGGGGGGAGGAGGCGGAGTTCACGACAGCTCGGCGCTTTGTGACCGAGCCGGTGTGGGCCCCGCAATGCGTTGCGCTCACATCATCGCATCTGCGCGAGCACATTCAAGTGCCAAAGCGTGGAGCGTGCTACGCTGCAAAGAAGGAAGAGAAAAAACAACAACTCGAGCGAGCGAACCGAACGACAGACACCCCCCCCCCACCCACCACCACGCGTGAGCCCATTGACCCCTTAGGTGAAAATTCCTGCTCATTTACCATTCGGTTCGCTCGCTTTTGTGTCTCTAATAAACGTCTTTGTTCGCTCTAATGCGCTGGGCTTATACGGGGGTGGGGGTGTGGTGGGGTGGGGGGTAGTGTGGTGGGGGGTGTGGTGGGGTGGGGGGGTAGTGTGGTGGTGGGGGGGGGTTGTGTGGTGGTGTGGTGGGGTGGGTGGGGGGGTAGTGTGGTGGTGGGGGGGGGGGTAGTGTGGTGGGGTGGGGGGTGTGGTGGTGTGGTGGGGGGGGTGTGGGGGAGTAGTGTGGTGGGGGGGGGGTAGCGTGGTGGTGGGCGGGTGGGTGGGGTGGTGGTGTGGTGGGGGTAGTGTGGTGGTGTTGTGGGTGTGGTGGGTGGGTAGTGTGGTGGTGGTGTTGTGGGTGTGGTGGGGGGTAGTGTGGTAGTGTGGTGGTGGGTGGGTAGTGTGGTGGTGGTGTTGTAGTGGGGGGGGGGGGGCTTCGCGCGTGGTGCGCGCCAGCTCCACATTGTGCGCTTCTAACGGGGGGGGTGGGGTCCGCAGGGACGTCGGCTGATGAGCACTTCCAGAGGCGACCCCCAATCCGCGGCGCTGCTGAATCCGCGGCGCTGCCGGGGGGGGAGGGGGGGGTCCTCGTGGTGCTGCGCGGCTGCTTGTCTCGCACGGTGCCCTCGCCAGATGGGCACGTGCACGCAGAACAAAGGCAAAGATACACCCCCTCCCCCCCACCACGTATAGCCTCAACAGACTGTTGGGGCAAGTGCCGTTAGCGAGCAGCTGTGAAGGCCGGGACGGTACGCACGGACGTGGGTGGCCAGCACCACGCCCGGCCGCCTTTGTCTCCCCAGTGGCGATGTTTACACATCGCACCAGGCACTCGTTTGAGGCTGATTCTACCTAGGGGAGGCCCAAGACCGGTTGAGATAATCGTCACCGGTATTGGCCGTGAGCTGTAATCGAACCCGGGTCGCCAGGTTCGTGGCGCATAGCGCTAACCACTACACCACCGCTCCCCGCCACACACAAAGACACGCGCACACACACACGCACGCGCATGTGTGTGTGTGCGCTGTCCAGCACAAAAAAGATTCAAATTAGCAGCGGGTTTGACAAAGTATTGTAATCACTGCCGTTGACCAAACAGCGGGCTCTGCTGTCATCTGGCTCGGCGTTGATTTACGGCATCTGTTGCCTCGATGGCAAACTTCGCGTTGCGCAAACATTTGTAATGATGTGTATTTGAGCATTAACGTTTTAATTAATGAACGTGCGGAGCTCATATTTTAAGAGCTGTCGTGCGTTGTACGTGAGTGTGTACAAGGAAGAGTTCCGATGAAATAAAGGAAAATGTAACAATGGCCGTAAACCATGTATTGGTCGGAAGGCAGATTCCCAAACAATGTTTGCAAAGCACAAGAAACAGCCAAGTCTGTCGATATATATATTTGGTCAATTTCCATAACTTCTCGTCAAATATATCACATGTTTACGAATACAGTACGTGGATGAAGCCTCACGTGACCCACATTTTCTATCATATTTTTACTGACTCAAATTATTTTTTACAAATATCGATAAAAACATTTCACAATTCGATTCTAATTATTTAAACCGATCTGTTTATATATATTTATTTAAAAAAAGTCCCTCCCGCTCAGTTCTCTAAGCTACGACCTCAACCGAAAAGCTAAAAATACGTTCCCGACACGCCGGCCATGGCAGAAGAGGGCTTCTCGCTGGCTCCCCTCTCTAAGCCCAACTCGTGCGGGGGAATTGAAACCCAAACAGCCGTGGCGCCGGGCGGCCGCCGTCCCAGCCGCCTACGACGACCACGGCGGCGGCAAGTGGGGACGTGCGAGTCGGACGGAGACTTGTTATCATTCACGACGCGTGCGGCGCTGTTACCACCACTGCCTTCATCATCCCCACCCCTCCTCTCTCTCTCGCCCTCCGCATCTCGCGCCCCGCCGCGAGACGCAGCAGCAGCAGGCATGAGCGCCGGCCGGCCCGACTGCTCCCAGGCGCGCTGCCCCGTGCGCTTCTCCACGCGCTGCCCGCCCGACTCGCTGCTCGTGGAGGGCACCATGCCCCCCGAGGGCTGCTGCCCGCTGCCCAGCCGCTGCGAGTGCCGCCCGCGGGAGCGCTGCCCCCCGGCCGTGTGCTCGCCGGGCGCGACGCCCACGCGGCTCGCGTCTGCCGACGGCACCCCGGGCCGCTGCTGCGAGCTGTACGCGTGCCGAGCAGGTGGGTTCCGAGTCCACGCGGTGGAGGGGGTCTCTATGAACTTTCCGAATCGGAGTGGTAGAAATACGAGGAGGTCAGAGGGGAAGGTCACCAGCACTGCCCGTCGCTCGCTTACGTCGCTGCCGGCGGGAGGGCCTCCGCCAGGGGAAGGTCTAGAGAGCACCTCCGTAGGGTCATTGGTCTACTCTTCCATAGGGTGGGAAGAACCCGCACGTCACCCCACCACGTGCCACCTGCCACTGGGCCCAAGTGTTACTCGTGTATACTACCGCGGGGTGATAGAGGCGGGGAGGGTTGACGGCAACTTGCGTCGTGTTTCAAGTGCCGCGCCGGGAGGTCGAATCGAACCGGAGACCGCTGCGTTGCAAGCCCGGTGTGCCAGACACGAGACCACGGCAGCTTCCCAACTTCATCCTCATCTTAGCGACGATGCCGTGAAAGGCGCTTTGGTCTGGAGTGGCCGTGCAGAGGCCCAGACACCACCGCACCGTGAACCCGGCGACCTGAGTTTGATTTCTGGGCTACGGCGAACACGAGTGGCGAGTGATATCCGTGTTGTTCTGAGTCTCCCTTCGGCTGAATCAGCCTGAAAAAGAGTACCTGGGACGATGTTTAAAAGCATCTCGCACGAAGGCAGCCAGGAGTCGTGCTCGCCACGTCACCCCCTCGCTTGTGCCCCAGGCGAACTCCACTTTCATCAACAGTGGACAATCAACTGGGACATATGGCGAGCTAGGCAGCCCCTCCCTCCAACAGACCTGCCCACTTTTGAATATCAACGCCCATTTAATCAATAGCCACCCTTCAACAAATATAATCGATAGTCAATCAATCCTAAGGCTCTTCTTGAGGATGATCCTTAATTTGGATGTTTGGCCACCTACATTAATTGTATAGCTCTACAGAGATTGATTCAGGAATCCGATACCGCACAGCCCTGCCATCTGTCATCTGATGATGAAAGGTGAACTCGGAACTCGTGCAATGACAAGTCCATCACGTGGCGTCAGAGAATTGACCCAGGAGACGGTGGTTCGTGACTGCGACCGAAACAGCCTAAAGAGGCCAACTACCCTCAACCGTTTGATGCGTTTTGAAAAGTTATTAAATTAGTTGCGCAGATTATAATATCACAATGTATTTTAGAGAATGAAAACGTCATTTGTTTTCTGTTGATAATAACCATGAAACGATATCTTGATGGTATCGGCCTGCTCAGCGAAGAGTCACCCTTTGACGTCCATGGACAAGTCCCCATCTCTCCCTTTACCAACACACACGCACCAGCACGGCCAGGGATGGTCAAACAACCCACTGACCGAAACGCATGGAGGGGGCCTTCAAGCAGAAGTGAATTGCTAAAGGGATGTACAACGTGAGCATCACCAAATACGAACATGCAGGGGTGGGTGCTAACAAGTGAGTGCGAAAGTAAAGAAACAAATGCAAAAAGCCACCAAGCCTGTCGCAGGAACGGAACGCGGCCAACGAGAGGACGGCGGCCGCCGTGGAGATGGAGCGCTGAAATGAGACTCGTGTGCAGCTAGGTGCTGGGTGGATCACCACCATCATCATCATCGTTATATCGAGGGGAGATGGGGGTGGCTTGCACGACACTTTCACCCAGCAATGGATTGCCCCAGAATACGAGGTCGGCAACATTTGAAAGCAGACGAAGATTATACAATTTTTTACGAAAATAGTTTGAACAAATAAAACACGGACACGGCAGGTATACAACAGATGACAACAACGCACATTCTGACTTAAATAGCCAAAACAGGCGATGGAAAAAACTGCATCTATTTAGTTTTTGTTCCCCTTCGTTATTCTTTAACGCTACCTCACATTTTTGTTGTCACCGAGACATTCCACAGTTACCCATTCCCTGTCATGTTTAATAAATTGCTAAATATCTCTGCGTTAAATGACGTTTAACATTTAAGCGTGGCGAGTGGGTGAAGCCAAAGAGGCCGCGGCGACGCGGCACCGGAGCCGCGGGTTTGCCGACCCCTGACCCCGACGGCCGACGAGCCCGCGTTGATGCGGGCCCCTGTTGCGCGCGTGCGTGCGTCCAGACGTCGGAGGCAGCGTGGAGAAGCCGGGCCCTGCCGGGTGCCTGGCGGGGGGCAAGATGCGCGCGGAGGGCTCCCGCTGGCGCGAGGACGCCTGCACCAAGTGCCGCTGCGTGGGCGGGAGCGAGCAGTGCGTCACGCAGGCGTGCGGGCAGCACTGCGAGAAGGGCGCACGCGTCCCCGGCGAATGCTGCCTGCGCTGTCCAGGTGCGAGGGCGCACGGGCATCGCGCTCAACGCCTGTGTCACCTAACTACCGCTACCAGCAGATGTTGTGACGCCTGTTCTACCTAACTACCACTACCAGCAGATGTTGTGACGCCTGTCCCACCTAACTACCGCTACGAGCAGACGCTGTGACGCATGTTCTAACTAACTACCTCTACGAGCCATGGGCATCCAGGAGGTGCCGTACGCTGGCCCGTCAGGTGGATGCGGTACAGCAGAATCGTGGGGTTTGTTAGGCTCTCATCAACAGTCAGGCTTATCAAACAAAATAATACTGCTGGGTTGGATTTTGTCACCGGAAAAAAACATGTCGCGTTTAAATAGGCATTCGACATTGATGCAGGAAATTACGGATAAATAGCATAAATTTTGTTATTAGCTTTTAAAAGTAAATTTCATTGAAAGTTAATCTGATTTAATCGTGTTATTTAGCCATAATCCTCCACAGCAATTCTTAACGTGCCGTGTGTTGGCAAGCACGTGTTAGCCTGTCATGTTAGATGGACCCATCGATTCATATAACTTTTAAAAAGCTGGCAGCAGCAGGTCCGGAATTTTCATGGGGCTGACTTCCTCCTCCCAGCACTAAGAAAGCGTCTTGCGATGGAGTTTCTACACAGCTGGCTGAAAATCGTTCCACTTCTTGTGGGACGTGACGGTTCTTATGGCAGGCGCGTGAAGCAAGCGTATTTGTGTTTAACTTGTAGGAGGTAACTGCTTGCTGTAAAGGACACGTCGGCTTCCTCAAAGCACACATCATAACACTCGCTGCCGCACCAAGGGCATCTTGAAGGGTAGGGTTGTGAAGCTCTTCCAACGAGGCGGCCTCCCGCCCGAGCTTTCAATTATACAAGCGCGACATTGACCGATATGACGCTAGCCCGATTATAAATCTCAAATAATACAAATCTTAGATGGTTTCATTGTAATACGGCCGTGTATTACGGTCCGCTCATTCAAGCGATCGATTATGTAGGTGCAAATTTGACGAATGTCCTAGAACCGTAAATGTTGTGGTTTACCCTCCAACACACAAGCGGTTAGTGCTGAACTGGTCACAAATTAGCACGTTTTGTTTACGTGAAAAACTTTACTAATTCGCTGTGTCGGGTGGTAGCGGGTTTAACAACACATTCATATTTACGCAATCTAACCCAAAAAAACTATATTATTAAATTAAATGGAGTAAATTTCCGAATAAAGCAGTGCATAATTGGAAGAATTTCATTATTTGGAAACCAAGAGAGAGCCCATTAGAATACAGGCCCCGTTCGCGTTATAGTCATTGCCCCGCACAAGCCAATCAAGCCGTGTTTGGCAGCCTGGCAGCAGCGGCAGGCATTGCGTATTAAATGATGCTCACTCTCCCTTTTCGGCAAGAGCATGTCAATCAACCGCCGCTCCCTACACCACCCCACCCCACCACTGACTTCAATGCGCATCCTCCCAGCTCCACAATCCCACTTTGAATCAGCGGTTCAAATTACCTCTGAGCCTGGTGCCCTAACTGTCCAACATAACAAGGGCTCCACTGTCAAAAATATCATGGCAATTATGTGCTTGACAGTTTTGAAGCTGAATCTGTGTGGGCTGCACACTTGGGAGAGAGAGATGAGGAGGAGGAGGAGGGCGGTGGGGTGTTTCCGTGAATGTTTGGTCCGAGAAAGAGTCGCGGGTCCTCGGTTCTTTCCGGCGTCGCCACATCTTGGTGTGAGCATCTCGCGGGCGCACGCACAGGTGCAGTGGAGGGGCAGCGAGCTTGTGCAGGTGCGGGGGCGTTTAATTTGCGTCGTGCCAAGCGGCACGCCCGCGGCGCGCATGCACTCAGATGACCCCTTTCCTTCATCGCGGACCTAACGGTGATGATGAATTGTGGGACTAATTGATCATTCGCGTATCTGGAACATAAATAATTGTCTACGCAACCTGTTTACTATTACACTGCTATTTTAAGAATGGTGTGATTAGAGTAACAACAAAAGGTTACCGCGATGCATAATCGTTTTGGTGAGCGCTCTGTATCGGTAACACCATCTAGTTCAGGGGTCGGGAACCTTTTTGACTGGGAGAGCCATAAAAGCCAAATATTTCTAAATAAATTGCATTGAGAGCCATACAGTATTTTTAACGTATAAAAATATTAAATATGTATTACTTTTAATGCGACTTCTGGTGCTGCATGGTTTTGCTGATGGCCTTGTAGTCTGGTTCGTACGTGGTGAGGTTGAGCTTCATGCAGGCGTTGAGGCCCCGTGACCCGTGAAATTTATCTTCAAAACTAATTTCTGTTTACTTTAAAATGACACAGTATTATTAAGCAATATCACAAGTATTTTAAAATCAGTTCCAAACTGATTTTTGTATTTTTTTTCAACTCAAAATTGTCTGGGAGCCATATGTCATGACCAAAAGAGCCATATATGGCTCGCGAGCCATAGGTTCCCGACCGCTGATCTAGTTCATGCGTGGGCACATCTGTGGTGCAGTGGTCAGCGCTGCGCCACGAACCGTACAACCTGAGTTTGATACCCGGTCATGGCTAACGTCACATCTGCGCCTGTCCTGGGCTTCTCCTTCAGTAACCGACACTCACAACTGACCAGCGTGGTGAAGTATGGTCAAGCATCCTCAATATGCAACACAGGACGGGGGAAACCATGTGGCAGTGACTCGACAAAGGGCTGTGACAAAACGATGGTAAATAGGAAATGCTTAATTGACATTTGCGCCGCATTCTGATTCTGTTTTGGGTGTTTGCCCGTTTACCTAATCGTCTGTAAGACAAGACGCGCCACTGTAGCCAGCGAGTGTCACCCTGGCTGGGGGACGCACGATTTAACCAAATTTCACGCTCCGGCGAACGCGCCACCCACAACAAGGATTAATTAAAACCCGTCTGTGATGATAATAGCGAAAGAAACACCGGTTCCAGATGCCCCTCTTCACTCCCACCCCCCAACTCTCCCGACCTATAACCCCCTCCCACCCCCCATTCAACGAGATAATTTATACAAAAAGTCACTATACGGCTAATGCATCATGAGTTTGCATGCGGCATTGCTTATCGGGTTAAACACGGGCCCGCTATGTGTTTTTTAATGGAGCCCTCTTCTTGCCAATGCGGTACGCTGAACCCAGCGGCAGCATTTGGTGAACAAGCCTGACTCTTTCTTAAATCAATGCTGCCTGATAATACTGTGTTGGTCTGGAAGGCCAACAGGCTGATCTATTAACGATACTTTTAAAAAGTAACAATATTTTTAAAGATGCCATATGGAAACACCGAGCGGAGTTACATATATTAAAACAAACATGTAATTGTTTTATTTTTTTCAGTGTCGATTTTTTTTCTCAGCTGGACCCCAAGGCCATTTGTCATGGGAATGGGGAGATGCAACTACGTAAACAATATCATTACATATTATAAAATGTATACAAGTGTTAAACGTATATTTAATTAATATTTATAATTAAGCAAATATTAATTATATACAATTATTAAATATTATTAACCTTATGGCGGGACCCCGGGGTCCCATAAGCCCCCGGCTCTCGCATAAACATATTACATTATAATGTAAACTAAAACTTTGCTCTTTTTCACCATTGGGTTTGAAGGATGATGGCAAGTGCTGTCTTATTCAGGAAGATGACGAACGCTTGTGTTGCGATCGAAACGTCGTAGTTTTTGTTATTTTTTGTTATTATCTTTGAACCTATCTACGAGACTTTACCGAAAGATGCAAAGAATATGAATTCCTGCAGTCACGAAAGCTTTAAGTCAAGATTGAAGTCTTCTCTTGTTAAACTTTGCCTTTAAAACTGAAAACTACTTACCTGCAGTACTTCTATTTAAATACACTATCGAAAAAAATATTTACACCCCTCTGTCAATCATCGTGTTTCTCAGTGTGGATTTGTGAGCACACTTTGTAAATAGTACATAAAATAGTACGAGTTTTCAATGCGCTATTCATATTGTAACAAGCGTTTATACCAATGTTACTCTACAGAGTAGTGGGTCGCCGCTCCTCTTATCCGCATTGATACGAGCGGTATGTGGGGACTACTGGCTTAACCGCAAAAACAACCTATCTGCACAGATGCATACGGACAAGAGAAGTATTATCAAACAGGAGGAATTAACGGTGCAACGCATCTCATCTGTTAAATATCTGCAGGTAATAGGATTGTCATCGATTGATCCTGGCTGCAGACATTGGTATGTCACAAATAATAATGAAGATAAGAAAGCAGTTTCACTGTATGATGCATCCCGTTATGACAAATTAATAACTTAAGTTGTGTAGGCAGTTTGAGCAGCTTTGGGTAAAACTTATTATGATCCTGCCCATACCCGAGCATGGAGTGCATTCGCTTGTTCAGCTCTTCTGCGCATTCGTTCTTGCTGCTGCGCTTGGACGACACGACATCAACAGAACGATCCAGGTGTGCACGGTGGGACGGAGTAGCCAAAAATACATAAATTAATTACGAGTTTGACTTCCGTTTATTCGGGACCCCGGGGTCTCGCCATAAGTTTCATATATGCGATAAGCATAATAATTATATACAGTCGCATCTCCCCATTCCCATGACAAATGGCCTTGGGGACAAGCAAAAGAAAGGAGAATAAAAAAACAACATACAACAACAGTGCAGATTGCTGTCTTTCTCACGGGAAATGTTGTGTCTCACTGACATAAGGAAAGTGACTCATTAGGGGAGAGGGTTGGAGCTGGCACACAACGTTGCTTGTCACGCCATGGGGTGACGCTTCGCTCGGAGATTAGTTGAACAAAAAAAAGCAAGGTCGTTATTTTTCCAAGCATTTTAGTGTTTTTTTTAAAGCATTTTTGGCAAATATCTCCACAGCGTTCTTTGGCCAGTGTAATTTTTTTTTCTCAGCTGAGTCTTGTGCAGGGGAAAAAAACCGTCCACACACACAAGGGTAAATAATGAATAGTAATGATAATGATATGTGCTGTTTAAATAAAAAAAATGTCGTGAGGGGCTATTGCGGGTTTATTGCCAGCCTGGTAATGACTTGTTTTAATAACAGATATTTAGTGTTAATCACGCGGTGTAAAATAAAAAAAATATATCAGCATCATGCCAGTAATTCATTCCTTTTTATTTAGTGATTAATTACGAATATATATTTACGTTGATACCCACGTAAACAGGGACACCACTTACTGTATCTGTAAGCAAGCTGTGACCCTTAATCCAGCAGTCAATTTCGAGCTGTTGTTTTTTGTTTGGCAAAATGAGTGGGTGCATTTGGCTGTGACACCAGCAAGCGACTGCCAAGGCAAGTGTTGTCAGCATCAAAACCAAGCCAAACACCCAGCCTCCAACGCAGTCCACATAAAGTAGCCCGCCAGAGTCAATGGAATGAGCATCAGGCAACGAAATGGAATAAAAATAGAGTTTTTGTCCCCCGTTTGCATGAGTTTATTTAAATATATAATTTGTGGGGGGAAAATATTCCCCCAACCAATTTTATTCCGCTGTGTTATCCGCTCGACGTCGTTAGACGCATGATCCATTCGGATCTCTCACACAGCAGGGCAACCCTTCGTTTGAGAGAACGGTCCGTGGAAGCGGATATCACAGAGATACCTCTGCGATCGCTTAAAGTGACTTCTGGTCCACACAGCAGAGGGCAGCACTTCCCCACCCACGCTGCATATGACAGTGATTTTCACCACGTGACAGTCAAAATTAATGTTTTAATTCTCAGATCTGGAATTAGCCATTCTAAGTCTAGAACCAAATTTAATGCGGCGGTTTTTCAATGCTGTCATTGGCGACCGCGCTGCGACCATCACCTGTCATTTGTATTCTTAAACACAATCGTTATTCCAACCTAAGCTGGTTGCATTTAACCCTGACTAGCGACTCGGGGGTTAGAGGTCAACACAGAAGATATTTCCCAAGCTCCACAGCAAGGTTGGCTGCGCAAAGATTACCAGGCACAGAAGGTGTGTCCCCAGAGCCCGGCCGCTCGAGGTGACCCACCCTGAACACCTGCACTCATTAACCGCACACTACTGCCTTAAGCACGGCCATGGAAACACATCTTTCCCATTAAACTGCCTGACAATGTGGTTTGTTTTGTAAAGCCCTTATATACTGTGCCTTCACGGAGCACAGCTTGCCGTGGGGAATTTTGACTATTTACTGCGGGCGGATAATTTCCCAGGGGCCAATTGGCTTTAGATGGGGTGCTCCTTTTCAAAAAATGAACCTTAAAAAAGCCCCTATTTTCCTCAATTATGGATAAATATACTGATTTCTACATTCTCTCCTCAACAGCTTAGCCTGCGACGGTATGTGTTCTTATGTGTCTCGCAAATGGAAGGCTGAACTTTATTAAAGCATCCATTGATTTTGTGTGACTGAAAACAATTGAGCTGAAAATCATGTTATTACTTTTAAAATATGTATTTTTATTCAGCCACCCAGTAAATACTGGGTTGCATTGCTTTATATTTCTGATTTGCCACACTGTAATTTTTTTTCTTCCCAAGATAATACCCGCTTAATCAAACCTCCGATTTATTCAGCATGTTTAGTTTAGCATTGCCAATTTTTTGTTGTCAACCGACCAGCTGAATGAAGGCCTCCTTCTGCTTTGCTGGTCGTGAGCGTTGCTCTGAGCATACTTTACCTCGCTGGTCCGCCACCAGTTGGTGAAGGGGGTGGTCCAGAACTGGTTCACATTTGCTCGCCGCTGAGATTAAAACTAAAAGCGTGTTTATTTTGCTAGGTAACGCCCACTGACCTGGCTATCACAAATGATAGCTCAACGAAGTGGCTCATCATGTGGAAATGTATAAGAGCCAAATACTCCAAACACATGTTGATTCTAAATGTGGTGGGAAAAACCGGAGGACCCGGAGAAAAATCCACACGACCACGGGGCGAACATCCAAACTCCAAATATACAGCAGGCATCAGGTTCGAGATCGAACCCACAACCTCCTGCATACCAGGCGAGGGAGTTAACAACTCCTAGCCACCGTGGCGCCATTAGTCATGGCCGGAAATCGAATTTGCCAGTCGAATTGGCAAGCTCCCAGCACAGTGGTGCATTACCCATTGCGGCACTACATCACCACGACAATTAAACATAGGGGCCATAAAAACATCGGTGATGACACGGTTATGATGGGGAGGGTTTAACTGCTTAGGTTATCTCGCCATCGTGCAGTATGCTTCTCTGCTCGGCACGCTGTCCGACGTTTTGCTCTGCGTGTTTCAGCCGAACAACACGCGTCACATCCCGAAAACATGTCGGAGAGCGGTGGAGGTGAACGATTTGTTTTTCGTGTGTTCAGGGCCAGAGGAGTCATCATCGGTGACCGCTTTGCCCCTGACCTGCGACCCTCTGACCTGTAACCTCACGGAGGAGAGCTGCCCCTACGGCTTCCAGCTGGACGAGAAAGGCTGCCGCTCCTGCGGCTGCAAGACGAGTGAGTGCCTCTCCGGGTGCCGGAGAGAATTGCTCGATTTCCCGAGCCCACAGTCGTACACAGGGGCCAGATTAAGTTTGATGGGTGCGGGGGACTGGCTGTGTACATTTTGGGGGCCCTTCTTTATCCACGATATCCAATTCTTCCCCTTGCTCTTTGACCGCCGTACTTTATTGTTATTCACATTGGTGATTTCAGTTCAGATGCTCATTTGTGAAATGCGAATTGCAAAGCTAAAGCAATGTTAAAACGAACGAAACTATAAACAAATATTTCGGCCCATAACTGGTGGTAGTCGTCGAAGTACACACAGTAATGCCTATGGTTTAAATTGCCAAATAACATATGCTACGGTAATGCATTTTACCTATTTTCAATCTGTGATATATTTTTTTGGAGGGGAGGGGCTCTCGAAATCCGAGACCCCTGACTGCCGCCTCTAAAGCTCCCGCATGAATCTGGCCCTGCTCATGCAAAAACATCCAAAGAGAGGACCACAGAACTCGGGCAATTGTTGGCGCCAGTTCCAGCTGCCTTCACATTTGTCTGTGGTTTTCCTGCACCTCCGTGCAGAAAACATGCGAACGTCGTAAACTCTTCAGCGTTTAGAAATGCATTTTGTGTGAATGACGTTATATAATATTCCAAAAGTATTAAGTGATTATCATTATTCCACTAGTATTATCTGTATTAACTGGCTAGACCAGCCTCACTCTTCGTGCGTCATAGTTTTATTCAAATATACATTTAGATATTGTATGGCCCAGTCGTATGCATCATGTATTATTATGCATCTGTACAATATAATCCCTTTATTTTAAGACCAAGTAAGGGCATGTTGAGGGCAGCCGCATTTTTCAAGGGAGACGTGGGTACAATACATACAGCAAAATGGCATAAAACATTCCAGTGCAACAAATTTGAGAGTGAAAATCATAACAGCGTACATAAACACAGAAACAGATTTTTCATGGACAAAATAAAATTGAGAGTTAAACACCATGACAGATAAACATTGGCTAAGTGCTCTAATTTAAACTCAAAATCAAATATATACAGTGATGTTTAAAGTGAAACACATTTAAATACAATCAAGTTAAATAATACATACACATTAAAAATCTATATTGTCTACACACTTACACCGATCAGGTAGCTAAACCATAGAGCGAGCGGTTTGCAATCGCAAGGTGTGCGAGTTCAAATCCTGGTTGGGGGCGTTGACTCAGTCCATCATCTCTTTGGGATCGGTAAAATTAGTACCTGCTCTGTGGGCAAGTAAACATTGGTTGTCCGATGGATGAACTCGTCCCAGCCATAGGGATGTGGAGTTTTCATCAACCGGCTCAGGGCTGTAAACAATGCCTCAAATGCTCATTTCAGCAGGAAATCACTTTGACTTTGCTTTCAAAGGCTGTCCCACCGATGCATCTGAGAGCTACAACTGACTTTGATCCGTCTATATACCTACGAACTGCATGGTAAATTACACAATTGGTTATGCTATTTCATGTGGGGTAAAGGTCGTGTTACTCCTCTAACCCAATTGTGGAGCATCCTGAGATACGTCACAAATTGAGAGGGCGTACGAATCAATTTGAGCGGCTCAATGCAATTTGATGAGGGGGTGACCACAAGTAGCTTTATACACGTGGGCAATGATTCACGGGGGAGACTATAGCACAACCTGCGATGAATCGGATGGGATTGAGGTCGTCGCAAGCTGCTGCGAAGAGGTTAAGCGGCTTCAAATTGGATCGTGGACTTGCGCTACGTGAACGCCACGTTGCCCTCGCAATTGCGCGAGATGTGTTCACACTAGATTTGAAGCTTTCGTAACTGCAAGGATTCATACTCTTAGTTCTGTCGGTAAAGTCACGTAGGTAAAAAATTAAATTAAAATTAATAAAAATAAAATAAAAATCACGACGTTTCGGAGGCAACACAAGTTTCCGTCATCATGATGTGATTTTTATTTTATTTTTATTAATTTTAATTTAATTTTTTACCTACGTGACTTTACCGAAAGAACTAAGAGTACGTGTTCACACGTCGCGTTACATGAACTTTCCGAACTTCGACCGAGCGAATATATAGCGACGCGTGAGCTTTACACCCCTCCCTCTCCCTCTCCGTGTGATGCTTCCACGTGCACATTGGCACGCACGGGCCCGCGGGGCGTCACGCGCGCGCGCAGGGCACGAGTTCTGCAAGGTGCTGCTGGCGGGCTGCTCCCTCGAGTGCCCGTTTGGTCGCCGCCTGGGCCCCCACGGCTGCGAGATGTGCCGCTGTCGCCCCAAGCCCAAGCGCTGCCGCCCACTCGTGTGCTCCAAGGCCTGTCCCCACGGATACATGTACGTGGTGCGGCGGCGACGACGATGAGTAACGGGTCACTCGTGACAAATGTTGCGTCACGAGCCTTTGAAACGTAATTTTTTTTATCTTGTGTGTCCGGCGCTGTCGCTGTGTGAAGATCACGCGCAAAAGCATTCGCTGAGTAAATAACGATCTCAAGGCGCTGTAGAATGTGTAAGGCGCAAGATTTTTGCAAGGAGGTGCAGGAAACCGCCGACAAACGGGAAGGCAGCCAGAATTGACCCCAACACCAATTGCCCAAGTTCTGTGGTCCTATATTGGTATGTGTTTGCCAACGCTATTACTGAGCGTTTATACATATGGGAGGAAAACTGAGTTCCCGGAGATTTAAAACAACATAATGGATTGTTTGTGCTCCAGTTGAGTCTCCCAGAAATGTGGTAACCTTAGTCATAGAAGAGTTCTAAAACCAACTATGTTTGCTATGCGTGTAACAGAGCTTTTAATTCATCGTTTATTTTGCTCAAACACATCGAATAGTGTGCATTAGTTACGCTAATGGGATGTCAATGTTACATCCAGGCTAATGGAGCAAACAAATATGTCTAAATGAGACAAAATAAATGAGAATCAATGCAAACAAGAAGGTAAAAATGAGAGGAAATGGAATCCACTCTAGGATCGAATTTGCTACCCAAAATATTACCAATTCACCAAATCTTTGGGATCTATGGTTACATGCCAAATGTGTACCATATGTTTTGAATTTTTTTTTTTAATTTACAAATTTATTTTCAAATGCGCCACTGTCCGATACCGAAATCTGCAAATATCAGCGTGTCTGATGGCCCTTGTAACCGACTGCTTGTACGTTTGCCCGAGTGTTTATCTGGCATTTTCCATTGGCCCCACCTGCCGCTCATGTGCCAGTCCCCTCAGTCAGAATCAGAATGATAATCTTTTATTCATCCTGGAGGAATCCGATGAGCTATGAAGCTCTTTTTCACAGATGTCCGGTAGGGGCGGGCCAAAAAGTGACAATCGGAGCGCAAAGTCAGTGAACCCATAACGCCAGGGCCCGGTCGCGTGATCTTCTGCCGGCAAGCCTTCGATGGCTCGCGTGACCTGAAAGTGCACCTAGCTTGGCACAATCGCCGTGGTGACGTCGCCGGTTATCTGCCGGTTCCCGTTGTGGGCGCAGACGGACGCGGCACGGCTGCGAGACGTGCCGCTGTGTGCGCTGCGCGGCGCTTTCCTGCGACAAGAAGTGTGCCCACGGATACGAGGTCAACGGCAAGGGCTGCCCCACCTGCAAGTGCCGAGGCAAGGCTCGCCGGTCCATTCGTTCGTCCTTCACCGGTTCATTCGTTCATCCTTCACCAGTTCATTCGTTCATCCTTCACTGGTTCATTCGTTCATCCTTCACTGGTTTATTCATTCATCCTTCACCGGTTCATTCGCTCATCCTTCACTGGTTCATTCGTTCATCCTTCCCTGGTTCATTCGTTCATCCTTCACTGGTTCATTCGTTCATCCTTCACCAGTTCATTCGTTCGTCCTTCACCGGTTCATTCGCTCGTCCGCCCAGTAATTTTCCACGAGCGTCGCACTCCGAACCCGCGCTCGCGTTCACCGGCGGCGTGTTAACTTCCACGCTTAATTAAATAGACTTTTTAAAGTTTTCTTCTACAACATCAGAGTGCAGCGGCACATTAAATATGCACTACAATGACAATAGATTTGAAGCATGTTTTTTTTGGGGGGGGGGGCAGAGCTTTGTGACGTCATATTTGAGGGGGGATCTGACTTTTTGTGACGCCGTGTGACGAAGAGGGGGGGGGGGGGGAATCAAAAATCGTCAAAAATCGCGTGACGTCATTTATGGACGGCCCCAAACTCCCGCGACTGCTCCCGGCGCGGTTGTCTTGCTCGCCTCAACGTGAAACGTGTGGCCGTTGCCTCCGGCATCTGCGTCGGCCCTACGAAAGGAAGAAGACGTCTTAACGAAGGTCGTTTGCTGTATCGCACCTGCCCCAACACGAACCCCCCCCCCCCCTCACTAATCCCACTGCTCACACCACCGCCCCCCTCCCCTCCCCAGCGCTGTCCTCCGAGGGCCCCGTGGCTCCGTTCTGCCTCTCGGGCGACGGGCGGCGCTACCGGGACGGCGACGATTGGCACGACGGCTGCCGCTCGTGCACGTGCCTGGCGGGGCGCGAGATGTGCACGCTGCTCACCTGCGCGTTGCCCCGCTGCGCTGCCCCCACGATGCCCGCGGGAGCCTGCTGCCCCACCTGCCCAGGTACGCGTGCCCGCTTCTAACCTCCAGCGCGCTTGCACGGCTCGCAAGACTGTGACCGCAGCTGTCTCTCTCGATGCGTGCATCTTGACATCAACGGATTTACAAGTAATATACAATTACTATATACACAGTAGTGTAGTGCTGGCGTGGAGTGGTGGCACAGTGGACGTGTGAAAAAGAGCTTTACAGCTCATCGGATTCCTCCAGTGTAAATATAGTTTTTTTTTTGCATTCTGACCACAAGCATTGTGGTTAATGCTGCCTTTTTACCTTGTAAGAGGTTTCAGTTTGTTGTTTTAACATCTTAACACCTGTTTTGTTGCCATAAAAAAGGGGAAAACCTATTATTATAAATATTCTGATTCTATATGCACAGTGTGCCATGAATCGGGCAAACCGAGTTTTGATTCCTCTACCACGGCCAACGGCGGCGGCGGGTTACAGGTGCAAGGGCTGCACCTTTACCCTTTGACGTACAACCGCCACCAAGTGGCGGTGACGTTACCACGACGCTTGTGCCAGGCTAGGTGCACGTTGAGGCCACGTGAATTGTCGAACGCCCCCTGGCAGGAGGTCACGGTGCAGACCCAGCAGGTGCCACGGGTCGACTGACTGAGATGACTGGCCGATGCTATAACGCAATTACATCAAACACACACAGGCCAGAGGATGGTGGCGGACCTGGCACCGCAGCCCAAGGACCCCGCGGTGTGCGTCACCCCTGCGGGGCTGCCCGTGTCGGGCGGGGAGACGTTCCGTCTCGACGGCTGCACGCGCTGCCTGTGCCGAGCCGGCCGGGTTCTGTGCGACGCCGAGGTGTGCCCCCCGCTGCCCTGCCAGGACGCCGTGAGGACACCCGGATCCTGCTGCCCAATGTGCCCCCGTGAGTGGCCATGCAACAAGTCTATCTATCCATCAATGACTCCAGCCATCACAATCGGCCATTCCATCCTGAGATGAATCCATCGGTTTATTCATCCATCCACCCGCCCACCCATATATCCGTACGTTAAGTGATTTACTTATTCACACATTAACCCATCCTTCCATCCATCGATTAATCCATTCATTTATCAATCACTTAATGCATCCATCCATCTAACAATTTATCCACCCATTCATCCATCCACCCATTAATCCAGTTATCATTCCTTCAACAAGTAATTTGATGTGATAATAAAGCCATCAATGTGCAGTTGCAACATTGAAATGTAATTTAAAATTGATCCAAAACCTCGACGCATAATATCTGTACAATACGGCTATGTACAGTAGAAGTTACATTTTGATTAAAGACTTTAGTCTGAAGTGATTGATCGAGAACATACTCTCATTTTTGACTGATTTCGAAACAAAACCAGTGGCATTTACCTTCAAATTTCCTTCCCTGGAATGACAGTTGGGAGAAGAGTATCGTCGCCCACAATGTAAATCAACACCAGTGGCGTTTCAGATGTACACTGTCAGGTGATTGCATTCACAATAGGCGCCCATTACGCACTTTTGCCTTTTTGAACATTTTGTCCCCGATTGCGCTTGAGGGGTCATGTCACGAGATGAAGTGAAACCCTTCGTGTTAGAGAACGGTCCACGGAAGCGGATATCAAAGAGCTACCTCTGAGATCCCTTGAAAGTGACCCCGAGTCCACACAGCAGGGGGCAGCTTCTTGGCTACCACACCGATGCAGATAAATGTTCATCACGTGACACCAAAACCAATATTGATAATTCTCAGAGCTGGCATCTATCCAACTCAAGTACGGAATCAAATGTGATGAGATGCAAATATTTGTGAAGCGATTGGTGACCGGGCTGAGGGTATCAGCTTGAGAGTTCGTTTTAGTCAGAGGGGTCCGCGTGGATTGTAAGGATCTCAGCAGTGCCAGCTCAAAGCGATGGCCACTGAGTGGATGACCACTGAGTGGATTTTACCCAAAGATCTCAAAACGGTGCCAGCTCAAAGCGATGCCCACTGAGTCACCTGGTCCACACCTCCCAGGTGTGTGGACCAGGCCACGGTGGTCATTGTTTAACACGTAGCAGCAGGCTGTCGCGAATAGCATCCATAGTAGGTGTTCTTGGGTGAGATCGGGTAAATGTATGTGTCGTTAAACCCGCCACCACCCGACACAGCCAACTAGTAAGGGTCGTCACGTGAACAGAACGTGGCCAATTCATCACTAGCACAGCACTAGTGTATAGTGTAGTGTAATATACTAGTACAGCACTAGTGTATCGTGTAGTGTATAGTGTAATATACTAGTACAGCACTAGTGTATAGTGTAGTGTATAGTGTAATATACTAGTACAGCACTAGTGTATAGTGTAGTATACTAGTACAGCACACCGGTGTGTTGTAGAGCCAGATTGTAAACGTTGCGGCTTGGCTCTGCAACACACACCGCGTGTTGCTGTGCTCGTGACGAATTAGCCACGTTCTACTAATAGGGGTTTTCCCCTTTTTTCTGGCAACAAAACAGACACCTTTGGCAAGGAATCATGCTTACATTTGTTTGCATTTGACTGCAAGTATTGTGGTTAATGTAAGCATGATTCCTTGCAAAAGGTGTCAGTTTTGTTGCCAGAAAAAAGGGGAAAACCCCTGTTAGTATATGTTGGTACTGGCAAAGGAGGTCCCATGACGTGGCCACGTGCTGTTCACGTGACGGCTTTTTTGTCGCCACCAGCAGCGGCCACCGCCGCCGCCGCAGCGACTCCCACGAGCAACGCGTCGCACGGGGCAGTCAACAACAACAACAGCGACGAGTCTCGCGGGGCAGTCAACAACAACAACAACAGCGACGAGTCGCCGCCGGCAATGTGCCGCTCCGCCTCGGGCGCCATGTTCCTGGCGGGAGAGGCGTGGAAGCGAGACGCGTGCACGAGCTGCGCATGCGCCGCGGGCGAGGTCACCGTGCCACGCGCCGCGCTGCCCGCCCGCCACGTGCGCGCGCCCCGTGCTGCGCAAGGGGCAATGCTGCCCATACTGCCCCCGTGAGACTCACACACACAGCCCACCACCACCACCACCCACCACCCCCTACTGCCCCCGTGAGATTCACGACCCACACACAGACCACCATCACCCCCTACTGCCCCCGTGAGACTCACACACACAGCCCACCATCACCACCACCACCACCCACCACCCCCTACTGCCCCCGTGAGATTCACAACCCACCACCACCCACCACCCACAACCACCCCCTACTGCCCCCGTGAGACGCACACACAGCCCACCATCACCACCACCACCCACCACCCCCTACTGCCCCCGTGAGACTCACACACACAGCCCACCACCATCACCACCACCACCCCCTACTGCCCCCGTGAGATTCACGACCCACACACAGCCCACCACCACCACCCCCTACTGCCAGCGTGAGATACACACACAGACCACCATCACCACCACCACCCACCACCCCCTACTGCCCCCGTGAGACGCACACACAGCCCACCACCACCACCCACCACCCCCTACTGCCCCCGTGAGACGCACACACAGACCACCACCACCCACCACCCACCTACTGCCCCCGTGAGACGCACACACAGACCACCATCACCACCACCACCCACCACCCCTTACTGCCCCCGTGAGACTCACACAGACCACCATCACCACCACCACCCACCACCCCCTACTGCCCCCGTGAGACGCACACACAGACCACCATCACCACCACCACCCACCACCCCCTACTGCCCCCGTGAGACTCACACACAGACCACCATCACCACCACCACCCACCACCCCCTACTGCCCCCGTGAGACTCACACACAGACCACCATCACCACCACCACCCACCACCCCCTACTGCCCCCGTGAGACTCACACACAGACCACCATCACCACCACCCCCCACCACCCCCTACTGCCCCCGTGAGACTCACACACAGACCACCATCACCACCACCACCCACCACCCCCTACTGCCCCCGTGAGACTCACACACAGACCACCATCACCACCACCACCCACCACCCCCTACTGCCCCCGTGAGACTCACACACAGACCACCATCACCACCACCACCCACCACCCCCTACTGCCCCCGTGAGACTCACACAGACCACCATCACCACCACCCCCCACCACCCCCTACTGCCCCCGTGAGACTCACACACAGACCACCATCACCACCACCACCCACCACCCCCTACTGCCCCCGTGAGACTCACACACAGACCACCATCACCACCACCACCACCCACCACCCCCTACTGCCCCCGTGAGACTCACACACAGACCACCATCACCACCACCACCCACCACCACCACCACCCCCTACTGCCCCCGTGAGATTCACACACAGACCACCATCACCACCACCCCCCACCACCCCCTACTGCCCCCGTGAGACTCACACACAGACCACCATCACCACCACCACCCACCACCCCCTACTGCCCCCGTGAGACTCACACACAGACCACCATCACCACCACCACCCACCACCCCCTACTGCCCCCGTGAGACTCACACACAGACCACCATCACCACATCGACCACCACACCCACCACCACCCACACCACCACCCCTACTGCCCCCGTGAGACTCACACACAGACCACCATCACCACCAACCCCCACCACCCCCTACTGCCCCCGTGAGACTCACACACAGACCACCATCACCACCACCACAACCACCCCCTACTGCCCCGTGAGACTCACACCACAGCCCACCACCACCACCCACCACCCCCTACTGCCCCCGTGAGATACACACACACACAGCCCACCACCCAGCACCACCCACCTACTGCCCCCGTGAGATTCACACACAGCCCACCAGCACCACCACCACACCCCCTACTGCCCCCGTGAGATACACACACACACAGCCCACCACCAGCACCACCCACCTACTGCCCCGTGAGATTCACACACAGACCACCACCACCACCCACCACCCCCTACTGCCCCCGTGAGATACACACACACACAGCCCACCACCAGCACCACCCACCTACTGCCCCCGTGAGATTCACACACAGACCACCAGCACCACCCACCACCCCCCACCACCACCACCCCCTACTGCCCCCGTGAGATACACACACAGACCACCCGCACCCCCACCCACCACCCCCTACTGCCCCCGTCAGACTCACACACACACACAGCCCACCATCACCACCACCCACCACCCCCTACTGCCCGTGTGAGATTCACACACAGCCCACCAGCACCCCCACCCACCACCACCCCCTACTGCCCCCGTGAGATACACACACACAGACCACCCCCACCATCCCCACCACCACCCCCTACTGCCCCCGTGAGATACACACACACACAGACCACCACCACCACCACTCCCTACTGCCCCCGTGAGATTCACAACCCACCATCACCACCACCCACCACCACCCCCTACTGCCCGTGTGAGATACACACACACAGACCACCGCCACCCCCCACCCCCTACTGCCCCCACCCCCACCAACCCCTACTGCCCGTGTGAGATACACACACACAGACCACCGCCACCACCACCACCCCCTACTGCCCCCGTGAGAACACACACAGACCCCCACCACCACCACCCCCTACTGCCCCCGTGAGAACACACACAGACCACCGCCACCACCACCACCCCCACCACCACCACCCCCTACTGCCCCCGTGAGAACACACACACAGACCATCACCACCACCACCCCCTACTGCCCCCGTGAGAACACACAGACCAGCACTATCACCTACAGCTGCCCCGCTTCGTTGGGGCGTTCGCTCGCTGTGCAGGCAGGAGGGGTGAGCAGGCGCAGCCCTGCAATTGCTCGTTCGCGCCACTGCTGCCGGAAAGACCTCCACTAAAGGGAGATTTGCAAAAACCCTTCTGCTAGTGTGTGTGTGTGTGACCTACTGCTAGTGTGTGTGTGTGACCTACTCCACTGCTAGTGTGTGTGGTCTACCCTTCTGCTAGTGTGTGTGGTCTACCCTTCTGCTAGTGTGTGTGGTCTACCCTTCTGCGCTGGCCAGATGTCTTGGAAGACGTGGGAGTCCCCACGCTTTCCGTTATTAAACGTGCACGTCATTGATATCTCTGGAACGAGATCTATTTCGGCAAAATGAATGCTCATGCGCAGAAAAGGTAAAGGTAGTGGTTGGTGGTGGTGGTGATGATGATGGCAAAGAAGATGCTACCCCCCCCCCCTCAAGACGTCAGCAGCTCAGGTTAAAATGAGTATCTGGTGTGATTTGTAAAACAATAGCACTGGGGAGGCAAAGCAGGGTGGGTGTGATATTGGCCAGACCACTCAGTCGAACGCCTGCGCCTTGCCAATACTAAGAGGTGTCCGATCACAATTGTCTCTAGAGTAGGACGCTCCACAGGGGATCTTTGTCTTCTGTATATTTGTTTTCGTAGTTGTTTACATGGGGAGCGGTGGTGCAGCTGTTAGCGCACTGCACGACAAACCTGGCTCCACGATTCCTGCTTAAGGCCAACACCAGTGACGATGATCTGAACTGGTCCTGGGCCTCCCATAGGTCGACTCAGCCACAAATTAGTACCTGGTGAGGTGTGTAAACATCGCCACTGGGGAGACAAAAGCGTGGTGCTGGCCACCCACCCCCTCGTGTACCGTGCCGGCCATTCATAGCTACTCGCTAACAGCACTTGCCCCAACAGTATGTTGAGGCTATTATGGGGATCTATAGCTCTGCATGTGCATGAGTGGATTCACAATTGTGTGAGATGGGCTGGTCTGTTGGAGGGGCTAGCATCATTGTCAGGATGTCCTCAGCTGATTTCCCTTCGCACCTGTGGCACAATCTTGCATATATGGAGTAGGTAATAGGACTCGGATTGTAATAGTGAGTGATGGAACAATCACGTTCGCTCGGTAGAACTGGAAATAATATTCATTATTAAAGTGCACTGAAGAATTCAGTTACATCCATTGTTTTCCAGGTGGTGATTGGCTGAGCAGGGTCCTAATCCTAACCCCGTAGCGCCTGGCGAATTGGTGCTGTGCATTCAACATGAATTAGGGCGAAATATCTTCCCAGAAATTCTGCCCGCCGGCTTTTACAGAGAGTCATGAAACAAAGTTTGCATGAACAGGGCTACCGTGTTGTCTTGCAATGCCATTTGCCTTTTTACTTATACTGAAAGTTAGTTTGAAAACAAACTAAACTAGTTTACATATATACTATCATGTGAAAGGAAATACTGTCACGAAGCGACATGCATAGGGGCACAGGAGAATTGGATGTAAAGAATACAAGTTAAACCTACCGGAATGACATTTAAGCGAAACATCATTCAGGAAAGGAACACAGTGGGTAATAACAACCACCGTTCACCACTAAGTGTCAGTGACGTCTCCACAGTGCTCGTGCCAGGCTAGGTGCACAATACGCAGCAGCACAATTTTGACAAAAACCTGAGCACAATGAAAGCTTTTACTTTAAACGAACCCATTGATATTTGATATAAACCAATGCAAACACAGGGACAAAGCCGATCCTGCGTCGTAGGTATGCGTGTGCGCGTAGAACGTATGTCACTTCGCGTCGCATTTACAAATACCGTTATGAGCAATTTCATTTAAGCTTGGAGGCACTGTTTCAATCAATCAGACGTGACACCTTCCCTCCCTAGCTGAGGGTGCTTGTTCACAAAACTGTCAACGTCTTTATGACACTGGGACAAATAACTTGGGGCATTTTGTGCCTTTTTCTTATTTCGAGGGATTTTGCATGCGTGTGCGTGTGTCTTGACAAACGTACGAGTCTCGATGTGTTGTTTATTCGATGGCAAGCTTCTGCTCACGTTAATAAAAGCGAACGCGGTCTTTCGGCTTTGCTGAATGATTCATACCCCCCACCCCGGCATTGCGTCTGACCTCAGGAAACCCCTCGCTGAGCAACGTTCCGAGAATCCCCGGCACCAAATTGGACAATGAGATTGAAGTTCGGGCCCCTCTAGGAGAGCAGAACGAGAGGACGCAAGGTAATGAGTCCCAGTCCTGGATTTAGAGGCTCCTACATTTTGCGCAAACCGATTTGCATTGCTTAGACATATACACACACACGTTGACACTCTCATAGGTATGCTCGCGATGGGAGCATTTTGTAACTTGACATCGCAATCACCTTACACCAGTTGCTTATCTGTTTTGTTTTCTCAAATTAAAACATTTCATTTTCTCGGGAGGGAGAGACGTCGCTCGCGTTAGCAATATGGTTTTACACGCGGGCCGAAATAAGTCAATTTAATTACAGGCGTGACCGTACTAAACTTCCTTCTGTGCATTACAAATAAAATGCATCTTGTTACTACCATGGCAGTGGTGCACAAGTGCAAATAACAACAACAATTCGACAGATTTGTCAATAGCACTGCCCTAAAATGAAAACTAAAAATGTATAAATAATAATGTGACGTGTTGGGCAATGCCCCTTCATCGCAGCGGAGAAATGTCAACCTATCATACGTCGATTTATTTCCCTTACAGGGCAGTGTTATTGACGAATGTGTAGTCTTGTAATACGGTACAATACAGCGCAGAGGTTATCAAAACGGACACTGGCTGAAAATTCCATGAAAGACCTCGGCTCTTTTATTTACAGCGATAAGAGGGTAAAAAGGTGTTATTTTCTAGGCAACAGTGCAATGAAATGTACAAAGGAAACGTGCCTTTCCTTTGTACATTTCCCATCTCAATTTCCGAGCGGTGAACAAGAGGCCTGAATGTGTTTCCACGATCCATTAGGGCTGCTCTGAATTGTCGAGTCCAGCGAGCGGGGCAACACAACACGAATAAGTGACGTTAACAAAGGAAAAGCCAGCGCAATTGACTGATAAGGCCATGCAGGGCAGCATGTTCCAACCACGGGCAGGCTGCTGTTGATTCAATATAAATACTCACTTCTCATTATTTGATTTTGTTGACTGTTGTTTGTGCTCTTAACAAGCCCCTAGGGGTCTCCAGAAGACAAATTGATTTTCGTCCCCTCAATTTCTATATTTACCGAAGGTGAAACGCAAAGGGATTTAGAGCAAACCGCGTTCATTTGTAAAATAAATAAATATAAAGCCACTGCTGCGTGGTTTTTTTTGTTCCTTCGCTGCAATTTTACAACGAAAAGCACAATTCGGGAGAAAGAAATAGAACAAAAATCTCAACAAACGTGCACCGTCAATTGTTTTATTTATAGGGAGGAGGGTTGACACGTGCTACACTTGTGGACAGGTAACAAGGCCGTGTTTAGGGAAGACGACAACCCCAATTCCTGGGCCGGTCAATCAGCCGGGCGCGCACACAACTTGTGGCCCCTTTGTTTACTGCCGGGCTCGAGCTAATGGCCAAGGCGCCTATTGGGACTTCCGTTTCCATCGTAACGGAGCTCATCGCTTCGATCGCCTCCTCTCGCTGCGCAAATTACACATTACTTCAATTGGCTCGGGTCGCCACGACGTGTCACCCTGAGCTGTGGTCAGCTGTAAATGAGTCTAAGGTCAGGTGTTTGTAAACCTGAAAAAAACAATAGATTTAAGTGCCAACTCCGCTGTTGTTCATGCCCTGCTTTCTGTGCATTGCATTGGCAAGAAACGATTGCAATCCTAGAATTTTAATAGAGCACCAATTTTTTTTTTATGTTGCGGCTTTGGGTAAGGGCTCCCCAAGCCACCATCACCTATCTCGACCCTGCAAACATAGTGTGCATCGTAATAAAATATAAGTTCACGAAAAAACAGCTGTGACAATACCGATATAATTAAATGGAAGAAAAAAAAATCATTATGAATTTCATCACACCACATAATATGATGCAATTAAAAGCTCTGTTTTCCCAATGTAATTGAATTTACACACTCAGTTGCCAAGGCACTGCAGCGCTGGCAAATCTTCACTTGTGAAAAGTCATTACACATTTGGAAAGCAGTTGACAGGACCGAAGCGAACACTCCCTTGGGATACAAATGTTTAGGAGCATGCCCGCCCAGTATTAAGAAGAGCTAAGCTGGTGGTTTAAACCTCAGTATGGGTTGTTGGGAGGATATCTTGACAGCGATAGGGCACTCTGCCACGCTTTTTTACTAATCTACGTGAGATGTCCAAGGGGATGATGGGACCCCACACACGAGGCTCAACTGGCAGCGTAGGTTGCAGTGCAATTAACACTGCGGCATACTCTCCGATGTGTTTTTTTGGGCTTGCCGCGTTGTTGATGGGCAGGATATTCTAACTGTTCGCTCGCTCCACACGCTGGGAGCTGCTCCAGGAACTGAATTCCTGCGCGTAACAATCATAGGTAAAAAATGAAATTAAAATTAATAAAAATAAAATCGTAACAATTCAGTTCCCGAAGAAGCTCCCAGCACGAGCGCGATCGACATCATCCCGAACGCACACACGAGAGAGAGAGTTATACCGCCACAACCGATGCAACAGTGTGGTTATGACCAGGGCTTGATTTCTCGTGGAATATTTTCCAGCCAGGGCCCTCTGCCAACTCCTTTCACTACCCCCCGTTTCTAACTTGGGGGGGAATTATTTCCGCAGCTCGACTCCCAAAAGCAGCTGGGGCTGAAATGAATCTCCAAGAATATAACCCTCACCCACCTCCCCCCCCCCCCCTCTGCATTGTCCGTGGCAGATGCCGAGCAAAACCACATCCCAGAAGCGAGGCGCAAGGGGGCTGCTGCTGCTGCCGCCGCCGCCGCCCTGGGCGATGGCTCCGTCTCTGCGGGCGGCTCACGTGACGGTCCTACCACCTCCAGCGGCGGTGGCGGCGTGGCCGGCGGAGTCGCCTGGGGGCTGGCCGTGTCCGCCGTCTCGTCGGCCGCCCTCGCTGTCCTCCTCTACCTCAATCGCAAGAACCGCTGGCTCAACCTGCCCTGCTCCTTGGCCAAGGTGAAACGTGCGGACACGTAATACGAGCGTGGGGTGAGGGGGGGTCAGATATGCCACGCGGTACTCAAGTGCTCGTGGCACGACGGCGTTTGTCCGGGAAGTCCCAAGTGTCGTCGTGACGGTGGCTTCAACCTGAGCTGCGCTACGAGACGGCGCCACGAGTAAAATGGTTGTCCCCTTCCCCCTCCTCCACCTCCGATTAGCACGGTTGGCTACGTACGGTGCGAAAGAAGTTCAAGACGCACGATATACGTACCTAGGCGGCACGCATGGAGTGTGATGTCATTGCCTTGGCCGAAAAGGCTTTTTTCCGTTACTGCCGGTGCTTTGTCAGCACATTTTGGGCATCCCTGTTGGTCAATTTGTCCAGATGGACGGACAGAGCTCATAACCTGAGTTGTAAAGCCATTATCAACATTATAATGCAGCAGCATCATCAAACTGAGTTTCATTCCCTGTCACGGCTACTTGAGTGGGGAGTGGCCTCCAAATCGGATCTTGGGCGGCTCTGCGAGTGGTGAAATCGGACACAGTTTACTACCTCCATGCCTACAATCCATAAAGGACATTTTGTACAATTCTTGCTGTACTGCATCGATGGAGTGCTCTTGCCTACAAGGAAACCCACAAGGATGTTGCACAGGCCAAACTCTGCGAATGAGTCTCAGAGAAGTGAAAGCCAGCCCAGAGTTGGACTGCTTAAGGGCATTCTGCTGGAAAAAAAAGTCGAGGAGACTCATGGGCAGATGGCCCACGTGTGATTTTATTTGGCTGTTAAACAAAGCTTTGATTTATTACTTCACCACAATCCACCAAGGTAGTGCATAATAAATTTTGTGCAGTTTTGAGAAAGCTATAGTTTTATATTGTGTATATATGATCAATTTTGTTAACTGGGGAATGCATTTGTCTAAATGCATCTAATGCAATTGTTTTCTTTGAAAAGTTTCAATTATCCTTGCATTTTTACGTATATTTACAGACCTTTTATCAATGACCCGTTAGTCTCCCACACTTTGCTGGTCAGCTTGGATTGAAGGTGGGGGAATAGTTGTTGGCAGCATAGACCAGTACAGGAAGATATTTTACTGAACTGGCCCCTGCTGACAACGCAGCAGCCTACATCACCTGTTTTATGCACTGCGGTCACTCATCTACGCGCTATCCAGGCTCACACCTGCTTAGCTTCCGAGTTCTGACGAGATCGTGCGTACTTGCACCATAAACCCTACTGAAAGCATACTCCTGGCTTACCGCTGCACCCAGACAACGATCAATTCGCTACCCATGGCATTGACCTTTCCACTTCTCCTCCCAGGAGGTTCAGGAGCAGTCGGTGTCTCTTGGCGCGTGCTCCGGCGCCAAGGTGCAGGAGGGCGGCGCGCACGCGGCCACGGAGGCGCTGGCCGACGCACGCCCCAACAAGCGCTCGCCCAACGCCGTCGTAGCCTCGGCCAGCATCGTGCTGGAGAGCACCGAGACGATGGATCAGCCCTAGCTTCGCTGCGGATAGAGCACGGCAGCGTTGCGCACTCCGACACTCGTCCCGTGCACAGGAAGCGAGGTCTCCGATGTGTGTTTTTTTTGGTTGTTACCCAGAGCCGGCGCTAGGAAGCGTGCTGGGGGCTGGGGCACTGCACCACCAATCGTTACCGTTGGCCTTCCAGACAAGTTGATTCTCCTTAGCGGTGTATCTTTGTCATGCCCCCCCCCCTCCACACACAACAGTACTACTGCCTCCCCCCTGTCTAAGGAGCTGGAGTCAGACGGGCCTGGCCGTACCGCGTGTTGTTCGGCATGGTGTCCGATGTGTCAGCTCCGTGAACCGGAAGACGAAGTTGCTGAATTCACTCGTGCAATTGCAGCAATTGATAGAAAAAAAGAGATGAATTGAGTTCCTGAAATGTACGTGATACACTTTCGCTGTGCTGCATTACCCGTGCCCCTGGGGGTTTGTGGAGATATTTCTTACATAGACTGTCATGCAACCCAGAAGCATTTGTGTAGTGTGCCAAACTCTGCTGATGAGTCTTGGAGACGTTGAAACCGGTTCCTGAATTCGGGAGCTTCTTCAGGATATAAATGCAGTTCATGAATTCCGTTCCTGTAGAAGCTCCCAGCACGTGGAGTGAAACATCAGGGGTCGTGACATAGATGCAGTGCAACACCAAGTACACATTGGAGAGTTATACAGGGCAGCTGTTAAAACCTACGCACGGAGGCTAGCATTCACAGAAATGTTCAATTGTGCCATGAAAAAATAACTTGCAGTTGTAATGTTCTTTTTTATATAAGACTAAATAAAATAAATGGACCAACATACAAAATAAAACCTTAAGCAAGAACTAAACCCAGTATATCACTGCATTCCGTAACGACTAACCACGTTTCATTTAGGCTACAACTTTACAGATGGGTCAGGAAAAGGATAACAAATGAGACGATGAACACACCAGTCAAAAATATAACAGATTCGTGAATGAAATCACAATTCATCGAATCGCCGAGGCACGATTCGTTACAACTAGTTACCCACGGCTCGCATTCTCAATCAAAATTAAAAAAAATCCCCATCGTTTAGAACAGACCCTGTGCCCTCCCCTCCTACCCTGACAGACGCGCCAGCTGCAACCAGCTTTGGGTGTTTAGCCAGATGAATTTTCACAATAATTCATGGCAATCATTCACGCTGCTGAAATTCAAACTTGGCGATCGATGTTAGGCTTGAGGGATGCTGTAAACAATACCGTTCCACCTGTTGGTGTGGGCAGATGACATTCTTTATGAGCAGATGTTCAAAAAACCCTGATGTATTTAACGTCAATACATTTTTTTTTAATCATCTGATGGGGCTTTTAGAACATTTGCATGTTTACAAATTAGTCATTCCCCCTGATCCTATTGTCTCCACCGTATGCTTGTCCCTCCCAGGAAACGATCGACCATGCAATGTGTCCCTTACTAATCTGGTACTAATTGTCCATTGGTGGTTATTTTTTTATACACGAAGGCAGAATATATTTAGGTATTAGGTCAGGTTTAAAACGCAGTTGTCTTTAACGTTGAGCAACCTAAAATGAAAAAAAGTTGCACGAAAATTTATGAGTTTTTAAAATTAATAAATGATGCCGTTTGTAATGTGTACCTTACTTCTCATAGGCTACGTGAAATACGACCGATTTTTTCCCTTCCAGCAAATTGGTAGTGGAAATTGGCAATAAAACTGTTAGCAATTGCAGTGGCCTTGGTGGTCAAACGCATCAACGGGCTATCGCACAAAATTGGTGGGCACCTGAAAGAAGCCATCGCAAGAAAAGCGACTTTCTCTCTCCCACGCCATCTGTCACGAGCGCCGCATTCAAGGAATGTCTCGCACGACAAAACGAGTCAGAGAGGGCCCACGACCGATTTGTCCTCTGAAGACTGCCGATAGTCAGAAAGTTATTCCAGGGTGATTGGTGCGAGTTTAATAGAACTGGCCGATAATATATAATTTTAAGGAAAAGGTTCAGATTCGGTGCGATTAAAAAACATGCAATAACAGAATGTCGGGATTAGCCATTCCGCAAACTCAGCTTGCACTTGTAAAATTAGTAAGTTATAAACAAAAGCTGTAGTGTTAAAATGTAATATTTGTACTTACTCGACTTTTTAATGACATGTAAACGTCGGCATCTACAGCACACTTACATTTGTGAAAAGCCAAACTCCTAACAAGTACGAAATCACACGGACCCTTTTCTCTTGCCAAAGCCCCCACTCTCTTAACCATTAGAGCACTCGCCCCGATCTTAACCTCTAACCTTTAACCCTCTGACCACGATTGCCCCCGTATTGCATTTCGTGTTGAGAAAGCCATCACTGATTGACGAAAACACTTCCACGGATATGGTGATGACAGATGGAAGGTGGGGAAAAACATGCAGAAATGCATTAACGTTCAGCCCTTGCCAAAACAGGCGGGCAGAGGTGATGTTTATATTTATACCGGATCATAGCTTTCGACAGTAGGCTTGTGTTTGCATATATTGCTTCATCCCAACATGGAAAATACAGGGTTGTTTACACAAAGGCACATCCGACGATAACTTGGAATGCTTTAGAAAGGGTTTCAGTTGTTTAGAAATAACCCTATATTATGGATGATCTGGATAATTCTCTTGTTTTAATAACTGTAATGAAATCTCATCACAACGAATTACAACATTGCAGTATAAAAAAGTCACGTAGAGGCGAGCCATTACCATCAGATTAATCAATTTGTTCCATGCTTTAGGCTACAAATGATTGCCCTGCACATACCATTTGGGCCACGACTAAGATTGGGTCCCAAACCTTTTTTAAGTTCGGTGTTTAGACCGAGTTTAAGTTTAAACAAGGACGAACATGCAAATGCATGCACCCAAACGGTATATACACCAATGTCATGTCAACGTCATCGACGAGGGTGAATGCCCGACAGATGTTTTCCATCTTTCATGATCATCTCTCATGGCCCCCTGTTCCCTCCCAAATGTGACCTCAGGATTTGTCCCACATATGCCACATTCCTTCTCATCACTTCTCAGTGACTCTTGCTTGTCGCCTCTCTAGTTAACGCCTCTTCATTCCTCCTGTTATACATGATTATGTGCACACCACACTACAATGTGCACTGTGTGCAGACACCAATTCGTCCACAACTTTCAAACACGTCGCACTCTACAAGCAAATATAGTTTTGTTGAAATAATTTAATCAGACGAGAGTCGAAGGTTAACAAATTAACAATTGTTTTTTTACTATATTTGTACAATTCAAGAAGGAAGCTCCCCGATTCGACCCACGTTAAAAGTTTGCAATGACTCGACGAAAAGAAAAATGTATATTTGGCTTTTGCTTAAGAATGAAAACAAAACGTGCGGGTGTAAACGGGTTACTTACGAACACGTGACTGCATTTACCATTGGGTTGCTGCCAGGAATTAGAAGCCCTAAGTTATGACAAGGTCCTGGGTGTTTACACGTTCGTGTTGTTCTCGACCATAACCTTTACTAGAGAGTGCTGTCGGCAGTAGTGTGATGTGGGTGAGTGTAATTTATTTTCCGAGCGGTGGTGTTGTGTCTGCGGGAGGCTCTCCCAGGGGTTCAGTGTTGCACAAGTAATTGAGGGGGGAGGTCATTCAAGGTCACAGACCGCTTCATCCACCCGGCACAAACATTTTAATCTCGATCGTTCGTGCAACGTCTGTTCCAACCTAACTTTGGTATTCGAAGACACGACTCGAAAAATACTCGGTTCTTTACTTTGTAGGCAAGTACCTTGGTTGCGAGTTGAGCTCTCCGATACAACTTTGAAGCTTTGTCGACGAGAAAGACACTTTTAAAGTGACTCGAAGGAGCATGCAAGAGTGGTGTCGTGTCGCAGTGATGTCGCCAGTGCTGGCATTGCAGAACGAGGGAGATTGCTCGCTAACAAAGCTTCAAAATCGTGTCGGGTAGCACAACAGCCACTTGGTTTGTTGTAGTTTCCTTTGGAACATGGTCAATGTAATCGAGGTGCCCAATATAGCAATGTTTAGTCTCAAGTACAATGAAACGATACGTTCTATTAATTATCGAACGTGGTTCCGTGTCATCGTTTGAGAAGCTAGTGCGCAGGGCAGCTCTCAGATTGGTTTTCGCGATGTGTAGTTGGGTACAGTGCCTGACGTTTTTCTCTTCAGGAACTCAATATTTACGTCGCCAAACTGAAAACCCATCGAAGGGCTAGGTTGCATGATTGACAAAACCTACACACTAGTACGGTTCACAGGACATTTATAATACGTTTTGTAGACTCTGGTATAAATACCTCTACTGTAACTAAAAGCCAAAGCTAAGCTGGAACAGAGGACAATTGGTACAAATAAAGGGGTGGGAACCCAACCAGAAGATGGGGAGGCAGGGTCACAGATTTTCCGAGCCTCCGAGCGATACTGAGTGCCACCCGACACTGCAAGGGCCCAAGTTGCTCCGACAAGGATCACTTGGTCTTTTATGTTTTTAGCAGACACGTGTTTATGTTCTAGCGTTTCTAGTAGGAGTCGTGTTTTTTGTGGTAGCCCCGACAGATGTAACATCCGAATAATCGTTGCATACGGAACGCACTTGCATCGTTGTAGGAAGGCTTTAAGCGTGTTCTTAATAAATTTACTTATCAATAAATCAAAGCACAATGTTGTCGTCTGTGCCTCTAGTTGAATAAAGTGGGGGAAATCTTGCCTGTTTTACTGCTGTAGTTAATTTATTAACTTAAATAATACATTTCTCATACGTTGAGATTTCAAAAGTATTTTGCAGCCAAGTTCACTCTTTGTTGGCAGGAACATTCCTGCAGGGAAACACATCGGTAACGTTAGCACGGTGAACAAAACTCGCCGAGAAGGGCATTTCTATTAGAATTACTCCAGGGCCAGCGGCATGGAGCCGCCTCGTGTAAGATCTTACCTCGGCCACCCCGGGTACAATTTCTCCTGTATTTGTAGTGGGGCTTCTGGGCTCCTCTGGCCTGGGGGCCCTTGGTGCATTTCCACCACCTGCACCACACTCTACAGCAGTTGTTCTTAACCTTTACTGCAGCCTTGCACCCCTTTCGTTTCTCAATTGTATTTTTTATGTTAATACATATAGGTTTGAAGAAACAACGTAGTTGTACTTACATGCCCGTGCTTCAATTTGTGTTTTCATGATTTACCTTCCAAAAAAATCCAGCATGCCTCACACCCCTAGGCAGGGTGCGTGCACCCCAGGTTAAGAACGACTGCTCTATAGCTACCCCACTGCCGTACCTAATGTCCACACCTGGTACAAAGCAACACAATGGTCCAATGGTCCCAAATTCCCATGCTCGTGGCTCGGAGCTGGCGAATTCCGCATCGTCGCACCGCCGAGCTCGCTCGCACACGAGCTTTAAACGCCCCGGCACCTCCCCCCACCGGACGTCGCTGTCGCGGTTTCGCTGGCTCCTGCCACCGGTGCGTGGCACTTGCAGGCGGCTCAGTCGTCCTTGGCCGGTCTCCTGCGGTTGGTGCCGATGTAGTGCAGCGGGGTGGTCGCCGGCTTCCCGATCACCTCCGCCTCCAGCAGGGGCTGCAGCGCTGGCGGCACCCGGACGCGGCCGTCCTGTGGAGCGGAGCGGTGAGACGCCGGTGGCGGCGGTGGGGGGGGGGGGGTGGCAATTGATGGGGCCCGGCCGTTAACGGCGTTAAGCAGCTCGTTGCAGAGGTCCTCGGTGTGAATCCGGCAAACCGTCCGTGGCTATCGCTGCCGGTGGATTAACCGTAACGTTAAGCATCGTCTGCATCACGAGTGGATGTTGTCGACTGTTGGACAAAGTGCGGTTCTAGGTAAAAATATGAAGTAGATTCATGTTCAATTCAGCAAGGGACAGCATTCAAATTCTATTTGCGGCCAGAAGTGATTGAAATTCTACACTCCTATGGTGGGGGTGAGTCTTTCTATAGGATAACCACTGGTGATTTTCCACTGACAGGTTCAGTTACTACTCGTCACCGATGTTGTGCATCATGGCTGGGAAATTGAACCGAGGTGGCCACGTTCGTGTGCACGAATCACTGTGCCACTACTCCCCAGAAACATATAGCCTTTGGGACTGCTAAGAGACTGAAATTACATCTTACACACGCACACTCAAGCGTCCGCACGGCGCACAAGCTATCTACGGAGACTGAAATACATTTACATTGAAGCCTTTGACATCTTCGATCAAAGCTCAATTATATTGAATTCTACAAGTAATTTACTCGGGGATTACTTTTAACGCATGAATCATCCAGTGCATAATGCCTTAGTAAATAACCTAACACTACAAAAAAAAGCTCGATCAACCATTCTCACACCATGACCAAACATGAACAACAGTCCAGCTTTCGAGGTTAACCAGGCGGACAATACACACAAAACAAGCAGTGGCTGATCCACTCACAGATGGTGATGTTGTAACAAAGAACAGCTGTATTGGTCAGGTAAAAGCACAGGGGTCCTCACGGAGAGTTTAACCGATGCCAAGGCACTGCCGCTCCTTTTCTCCCTTCTGCTAGATCCTGTTAAGTCAGCATCCAACCTTCAAGATCTGCGCTTGTGTCTCACCGCATGGCTCTAGCTTCCCCCTTGGTCATATGTAGTATGTTGAACTTCTTTCGCACAGTACGTAGCCAACCGTGCTAATCGGGGTGCAGGGAATCGGGAGGTCAATAACCTCTGGGTGCCTATTACATTTCCGTCACAATCACCCACCCTCCTTGACCCTGCACACATACCACCCATCACCTCAATCTCCTTTTCCGTAACACCTGCGACACTTTCTCGCCACATTCCATTACAAACATCCCAAGTTATTTACCCCATCCTTCCGTGACATTCCCATCATCCTTTGCGTGTACCTGTACTCAATTTCCAGAAGCTTCTTCGCCAGTTGCTTTAATGTTAAACAGCTAGCCTCTAAACTAATGCCCTGGAGGCTGAGGAATAGTTTGACAAGTGTTTGGCAAGAGCAGACTGAAGATGTCATTATGCTCAAGTATAGTCTAATGTGTATATTCTTCATGGCCTTAAATACTAATTTTGCCTTCATGTGTGTGGCAGGATAGCTCATAGCCGAGATCGCCAAGTTCGTTACTATGAATACTGTTTTCAAATACAGTCAGCTGCCAGTGGTTAGACTGGGTTCAGTGAATTTATGGACTCGGTTACCAAAGACTGCACATTAAAAACATTGCATTGAATTTAATTTTACACAAAATTTGGCTAATTTAAAATAAAAAGTAAATATTTTACGAACATGAGCATAACGTCAATCTCTGTTGTTGAGTGTGGGTGAGGAAGTGCCGCTCCTCCTAGTGTGGAAAGACATCGGAGCTCAGCAGCAGTTCCGTGAGACTCCCTTCTGCGGGACGTTCTCTAAGAGTGGGCGATGAACTTGTCGTCTGTGAGAGCTCGTCAATGATTATTCATCTCAGGACACGATGCCGATAGCACAATGGGGATAACCCTTCTCTTTTTAAAGGCAAACATTATAAATGTTACCTTCATTTGGTATGTCTCAAGGATAGCGATGAGTAATCGTGGCACTGCGCATGCTGTCCCATTCACCTGCCAAAGGTGAAAAAACAAAACAATAATTCACACTAAAAACTGGATATATTTTTTGTAATCACTTTGCAAAAATTGTCAAATAAGCAATAGAATCCACCGCATTAACAGTCAGATTAACAATTGGTACTGGTGCATCAATAAACACGAGTGCAATGACAAAGGCATGTTTTGTTTACCGTGTGGGCATATTTAAGATTCCTTGACGAATCAAAGTACTTGATATGAAGTCTCCGACTCTGGTAGTCTGTGCAGTTGGAGGTACTTGATATCTGCAACAGCCAGAGGAAATGTAATTATCAAATGAGCATACATCACCACTAAATTAATCATAATTTGATTCTTTTTTTGTTGCTGTAATTTCCCCTGATTGTGCTATTGGTGTCATGTCATGAGACAAATAATCAATTCACGCCCACCCTTAAACCGAGAGGAATGATTGTAGGATGACAGTCAAACCAATATTTTCAATCTGCAGGGCTGGATTTTATCCCAATTAATGCAAAACCAAATTTAATGGAATGTTTTTATTTTGTGTATGTGCAGTCATTGATGCTTAGAACAGCAACTCACACTAAGACTTGAGAACCTGGTTTAAACAAAGGTGATTACCTGGATTTGAACCCAAGATTTCAGTGGTACTAGCTCAGCGTTGGCCTCTCAGTCACCCAGCCATCTCCCAGGAAATACATAATGAAGCTATGCAATATTTACGGGTGGTTCTTAGAAGGGTAGTTCATTACAACAGTACGGGAACACACGGGAGAACCTTGCTCCAATCCCTAAGGTAACCACACACTATAGTGTCAAATTCAATTTGACAATACTATCTTCAGATTCTTTGGAAGTTATTCAATTATATTTTAGAAAGTGTAGCAAGTGTGACACCCTGATGGAATACTGCTTACGTGAAAGATACGCAGGTGTAAGGATCCACCACTTTAGGGTACTGCACACACATGACTGTTTAGGTGTGAACTCATTACGTACTCTTTATATAGTCTCAAAATATGAACAGTTTGTACTCTACACACATCACTGTTGTCACTTTAGAGGCCCATTGTTTTTACATTTGTTACATTTTCCGTTGGGAGACTCCACAAACCTCGCCAAACTTTTCACGGCCTGGCATCCAGGCCTCAATGTCGTATTTACGGTAAGCGGGAAGGCCCAACTCCTCTGTCGGCATATCCAAAACCCTGAAACGAACCAACAAGGACACTCATGCGGCAAACGTCGTTGAAATCAAACTGAGTGAAGGTGGTCGGGGTGGCTCAGGGCTGAGAGCACTTCCGAAGCACGACTCAAAAACCCCCGAGTTCAAATGTGGGCAGCTATCGGTGACAATTCTCTAGTTTAGCAAATTGATGTTTTAAGACCAGTTAAACAGTGCCTGGACAAAAACAAAAATGCCAGATATTATAATTCATATTTTTCTTACTTTACCTAAGTTGGAGCTATGAATGAAACATGTAATTTAATCGATATATGATAAACACTTTTTCTAGGCCATGTAAAATGTGTCTCCTGAGTGTGGATACAATAAAAGATGCCACTTGAATTGGCTCTAGGATCACTCCTCCTTGCCAATAGCACAGCATCGTGTCATTATACGCAGACAGTGCGAGGCACACCTTAGCTATGTAAACATTCATTAGGGAGTTGGCCAAACATCTCTGAACAATTTGTTATATATATATAAATCCACGTGACCACAGGGAGAACATGCAAACTCCAAATATACAGGATCGAACCCACAACCTCCTGTATACCAGGCGAGGTAGTCAACATCTCCTAGCCACTGCGAGATAGGACCACAGCGCTTTGGCAATTGCTGTCCTAAAACCGTGCACATTACAAATTCTAAGACGTTTTAAGTTTCAGTTTGCATAACAAATATTATTTAATACTTATGCTAAACACGATCACACGACGATCAGCCCTTGCCACAAGTAGCCTCACTTGTAGTGCAGGCCCAGGTCAGAGTAGATCTCCTTCTGGATGGAGAGGAACTCATCTAGGAGAGCATTGCTTTCGTTTCCACTTTCGGCAGCCGTCACCCCAAACATCTCCACCTGCAGACACACGCGACCCGGCAGGTTCACAGGGAAGTCCAACAAGACACCAGCAGTTCGCAGTGCGGTGTGTTGCGTGATTTACACCGGGGGTGAAGGAGTTTATGTGCAACCCCTTCCTGTGAATCTACTGCTAGATGAGGGTCTCCCAATGCTCTGTGGGTCTTGGGGGATATTTGATTTAAATTTACTACTCAACACAGGTGTGAAGCGTCGATATGGAAGCACAGAATTATAGTAAACAATGGATTTTGCTGCATTGCCATCTGCTGCCCAACGCATATCCCATAGCAACCAATAATAAAGAACCTGCTGTGCATGGTGGTCATGCATCCAAGCACTCTCCAAACTCCATCCGGCCTAGCTTCCGAAATCTGATGAGGTTGGGCGTACATGTTTGGTGATTTGGTCATAGTCGTCACTAAAAAGACGACTGCAAAACAAAAAACCGTTTTTGCCAAGCTCGGCTTTCTACATTGAAAGAAGCAGAATGCTGAACTGTGCAGGCTGGGAGATGGGGTTAGCGTGTTAGTTTAACACATAGCCTCACGATCAATATTAATAATAAAGATTTTGAGTTATATCGCGTAAATATATACGTGTTGTAACCCGTCATCAATTCTGGCAAATCGTCTGCTGAAGCTGCTTGTCATCACCAGTGAGACGTCATACTCAAATTGTAAATGTTGTGCGTTTACTCTTCAACACACAAGCGGTGGGCTGAACTCGTAACTAAATGGCACGTTTTGTTTACGTGACAAACCTTACTAATTGGATGTCTCGGGTGGTGGGTTAATGAAACATGTATGTATACGCGCTCTAACCCAAAAGCCTTTATTATGAATTGTCAGTGGGCTGCACTTAAACTCAGGCACGCCTTCATCAGGTGTGCAGGCGAGGAGAGGGTTCGTGTGTTAGTTGGTGGATCATTAGCGTTGTCAGTGGGCTGCACTGAAACTCGGGCACACTTTCATCAGGTGTGCAGGTAGGGAGAGGGTTCGTGTGTTAGTTGGTGGATCGTTAGTGTTGGCAGTGGGTTGCACTGAAACTCGAGCACACCTTGGTAAAGTGATGCACGCGGTAGAGGCCCCACGTCTCCTTGCCAGTCTCTGTCTCGGCTCTGTAGCAAGTGCTGCGGCAAACTATCCTGCAGAAGGAGCAGCGTCCACACAACGACCACGTCATGAAATATCCAGCCTTCCAAAACCCACGCAGACAAAGGTGTTCCCGTAAAATGCGTTGCCAAGGTGGAGCACTTAAAGCAGGACGACCGTGCAGCGATGCCACGGATAAACAGTAAAGTAGAATGCAGTCTAAATGTATGTTTCCTAACATTAGATTTGAAGCTTTCGTGACTGCAAGGATTCTTACTCTTAGGTTTTTTCGGTAAAGTCTCGTAGGTAAAAAGAAATAATCAAAAATTAATAATAAAAATAATAGAAAAAATAATATAAGTAAAATAATTATTTATTTGTATTATTTCTATTAGTTTTATTATTTATTATTTGATTATTTATTTTTACCTACGTGACTTTACAGAAAAAACCTAAGAGTATGTTTAACATGTCAAGGAAGGAATATCCACCTCAAGGGCAGGTCCTTCAATTCCACTGCATGATCCATGAAGTAACCTGCAAGAGGCAGAAAATGACACAGGAGAACCTGAACTACACTTGCTTAACAAAACACGCTCTCACGTGTTTACATCACCATCACACCACGTCTCTCAACGGGATAACGGCCGGTGGTCAAAACTAGCGGTGGAGTGGCAGACAAAGGATGAAACACGCTCGATAGAGCGCTGAAATAAGTGTGTGTGCAGGTGCTCGATATAGTTACATGACGGGACTGTGATGGTGATGGGTTGGAGAGGCCTAAATCTGCCAGTGGATTATATCACAGCTGACGATGATGATAGGGATATGGGTTAAGAGCTAAACTGATCCCACACTTGAAACCCTCTGATTGTGAACTGTGTGCTCTAACCGCAATGCCAACTGGAAAATAAGTATTTAGAATATAGTTAGGGATAGTTCTGGAAGCCTCACCGGCGATGCCAACCTCGGAGGTACCGGCCAGGTTAAGGTCCTTGAATTTGGCAGGGTCCAGCTGAGTAAAGCTGAGACGTCTTGGCACTGGGACACATTCCACATCCTTCCTAGGGGTGAGAAGAGACCCTATGCAATATGACAAGGCACACCAGTGCTATTATAGCAAGTATCCATGGGATTTAAGCAAAACAGGGACATATGCATTTACGTTCCGTGCGTACTTCTTAAATGTAGTGCTACAAGGTAGGTAAAGCTGCAGCTCTGTAATGTCTTGCTCATGCCACTGCTGGTAGAAGGGCCTCCACTCGAGAACGCTCCGGACAGCCGCTCTGGAGGGTACTTTTGGCCTACTCTTTTACGGTGGCTCGACGTCTTGGAATAGGGAGAAGTGCTCACGTGTTATCCCACCACACGCAATCTGACAATTGACTGTGGTGTTCCCAGTTATACTGCTGGGTGGACAGAATCTTCAAGAAGATTGAAGAAACTTTCACCACTTTTTTAACTGCCATGCTGGGAGATCGAACCGGCGACCTTCGGATTTCAAATCCAGCTCGATGACCTCAATCAATCTTTATTTTACGTGCCAATATCGCCCTCAATAAAGCAGGCATCAGTGCACATTATAGCGGAACGGGAACGGTACAGAGGGCACGGAGCAACAGGAATGAGTCAGCGGCTAACACCGACTGAGCAGACTAAATTGCAACCGTGCGCAAGGAATCACATAAGAAAGCTCAGTAGAAAATAAAAATAATGAACATGAAAGAGACAGTTTTTTACTTAACATTTGAGATTTTATGGGAAGGCAAGTCTGAATAGGTGTGTATTTCACAAAATAGGTGTGTGACCTATACATACCGACGACAACATCCCATATTTGTCATGGAATGTGATTTCATTCGAATACCTCTGTTAAAAGGTTGTATGAACAGCACCTAGGTTGTGTAAAATTCCTTAGAACAACTAAGCTTGCGAGAGCAGATACAAGCAAAAATATAACTAAGATTGCTAAATCATGAGATCGATTCAATTGATTACAATTATTTGTTAAGCCCTATGTGGTTTCATTTCAATTTCACGGTAGCTTGGAAGTGATGTTTTTGAGGACTATTACACCAACGAATTGCAGATCAAAAACACATTTGTTGCTCAGTATGATGTAACTAATTATTTGTCCGTAACCAGCGTAAATGTTCTGACTTACAAAAACAACGCCTTTGAGCATGTCGGGCACGGACATGGCGACGAAACCCTGAAATACACACACACATTCATACACGAGAGACATTAGTAAAACAACATGCTCATGATTTTGCCATTCATCGAAAATCTAGTGTTCATACGTTCGTAATAAAATAAGGCATTACAAATAGAATTCAAGGATTTGTCAAGAGATAAAGTCAGGTGCAGGTTGCGGGCAGGTAGTAATATAGAGCGTAAACTAAAAATAATAGTAGAATACTGTGTTTGATTTATTTGTACAGAGGCTTAAGATGCAGATGCATTTAGATTCACTATGAATCTAGGCCAAACCCAGAAGAACTCTTACCCAACTTCCATCGTCACATCCAAGCCGAGCCACCCGTACCCTCAAGGTGGCTTTCCACTGGCTACTTCGTGAGCTGCGCCAGAACCAAACTGTGATGCGTTGTCCTCACAAGACATTTGAATCTGGCTCTGGTCCTGACAGAGCCAGGGGAAGGAATGATGACGCTTTTAGTGTGCGTGACATCAATCAGTACAATGTGATGACACCGCGTCATCTACTTCTGTCTCGACATGTTCATGGCGTGGAGTGACTCAGGTTCTGTGGGAGAAAAATAAAGTGGCGCTTCCCGAGCCGCTGCATCGAGCTCGCTTGCCATTGCCGTGGGCACTGCTCAGTTGTCCAGAGCAAAAGAAGCGTCTCTTTATCTTCTGAGGTGTGCCTAAACTCCGTGTGAAAATCTAAACGAGGTATGGTTTCGTTGTTACGCTCGAGATTTCCTGTAAAGATTCGCTTCGGGGTTAGAGTTGGTAGCTCCAAACAAGGTGAACGGGCAAGTGTAAGCACTCCACGCGATGGGCATCCAGCAAGGACCCTCACAGCATCCTCACCCGTCGCTTGAGCTTCTTGAGGGCAAAGTGGGCGAGCGCGTGTTCCAGCTCCGCGCCCGCGCCTCGCAGATAATACGAGCGATGCCCCGACACGTGTGACAGGTGCCTGCGTCAGAGGCGGGAGGGGACGCGCCGGGAGGGGGGACGTCAAGGCCGGGGGGGAGTGGGGTGAGTGGAGGGTGGAGAATGACGATTTTGTTTCAACGTGAAGAGTGATCAGAGATGGCTGGCGTGTTTGCTGGATGTTGGGCACGTGACAATGCACCCCCAGAAACCCAAGGGGTTAGCAACCTGCAGCTCCGGAGCCACGTGCGGCTCTTCAAGGACTGCTTCGTGACATTATTTATTTAGGACCACCGCCTCTCGTATTCACATGCATTGCAGCTCTAGAAATATTTCGTTTTTTTACCGAATTAAAAAAAAATTCTCTTCTTGTTATTTTGGGTGCCGATCCCTGCCCCGACCTCCTGTCTGTGGTGAATGAATCGATTCCACACTGCATACCAAATGGACACATCAGGTGGTCATGGGAAAAATTTGTGTGGAGATTGCTAACATTGCTAACACAGCTATATATGGCAATGTGAGTATTTGCTTTGGATAAACACAAATACTAAACAATATCTTGCCCTCGGAGTAACCCTTCCCAGTACTTACTTCTGTCGTATTATGTCCAACTTCTCCCCGATGTCTAAATGTACACGTGGTTTAAAATCAAATTCTGCAACAAAAATATTTCAATAGTCAGTAGTCTTAATATATTTAAAATACAAAATACTGAAATACACAATTTATAAATATGCCCATTTTACATTTATATACATAGATTGTTTAATCAGTCGCTGATCTATGATTGATGAAATGCAGGGCCTAGCTTTGATGGGTAATGTGTTATTAGTTTACGAATGAAAGTTGTCTCGAAGGAATTAACTTTTCATAATTTTACCTGGCTTTTGGCCTACAGTTTCCAGCACCCTGGCTTGGCTCTCATCACCAACGGGCTGTCATAGAAACAAAAATAAATCAACAGTCCCAGTGCACCTGTCTCCAGCTCCAGTGAAATAGACCAAATGCGTAATGAGAATTACAACTGTGGTTGCATGTTTTGCAGCCTCATCATTATGTATACATCAGCAAAATAATGTGTGTGTGTATATACAAGGAGAGGAATAGCAAACACAGGCTTACTCAAAAGACACAATGTAAGATGCAACCCTGCAATGTCTTGCTCAGGCCACTGCTTGTGGAAGGGCTTTCAAGAGAGTTCCACTAGCAGGCAGTGTAGTCTATTCTTCCATAATGGCTAGTTCTCTTGGAAGAGGTGAGAGTAACCACAAGTTATCCCACAACACATGACCTATGCATCGGCTAACTGTACATATCAGCTAATTAAAATTCACTTCCTCGACTAGTTAATGAAATATTACTTGGGTCTTTCAGTAAAAGAAAATAAACAAAAAACTATGAATGAAATATCACAATGGCGGGTGAAGATCTGATTGACAAATTGATTACTTTTCTACCACTGTGAAGCACACATGAAAACTATAGAGGCTGCAGGGTTTGGCTGCTTATAGTGCAACTACTTAGAGCTCCAGCAGCTTCCACCTCCAGTTGCTGAGCACAGGCCCAAACACCCAGAAAGCCAAGCGGTCAGCATAAAACAGCGCGATGTAAGTTGTAATATATGAGAGTTAATACATTCCTTCAATTGAACAAGGCTTTAAGGAGTTGGACAAACAGATGACGGGAAGGAATTCTAAAGCAGAGCAATGCAAGGAAAAAATCAGAAAGAAAAGTGGTTTGACCAGCAATGTGACCGAGTTAGTGAGTGGGTGGATGGGTGGATGGGTGGGTGAATACGCTTGTGGGTATGAATGAGTGAATGTATTTGGTGTGATCTGCGGTATGGTGGCTGAACAGTCTGAGATGAGACTAAAATGTGAGTCGGCAGCGAGGCAAACGGAGACGTACCACGCTGGGGTGCGTGCGGTTGGGCAACTGCAGAGCTTTGAGGTAGAATTTCTCATCCAGCTCAGTCATCCGGTCGTAAAGGACGTTGAGTTTCACACGGATCTCGCGACCTTCTGTGCGTAGGCGCTGGTAGTCTGGGATCTGAAACAGGAGAACAAATCAATAACTTCTGTCTATTTCTCGCCATTGCCAATGAGTATGGATGCAAAGCACAATGATTTCTGCATTGTTTGCTGAATTATGATTAATTATTTTCGTGTTAAAATGACGGCTGAGATGTCTATGACAAAATCACCCAGAATACATACTATCTCGTCAAATCTCAGAAGCTAGGGGGGGATTTTGAGCCTGTTAAGTATTTGGATGGGCCATTACCATGACCAACAGGTTGTCAAAGATGCCTGCGAAGCTGTGTTAGGCTGCAAGCAACGAAGACATTGCAGAAAAAGCCGCTGTTGTACTGTGCTTTAATATTCTCACGTCTACGCCCCCCAGCCCTCATCCACCCGCACCGGCGAGTGCGGTAAAGTATGGCTACATAAAGCCACATAACCATCGAGGCGTGGAGAGGCCCTCATCCAGCAGTGGACTGACAGAGCCTTCATGTACAACATGAAACAATGAAAACAATTTGGTCGATACAAACTTAAAACACTTTTCTGTTTGACAACTTGAACAGGAAACTACCTTAAACTGACATCCATTTGCCTTCCGGGAACAATAATGAGCCCGACAGCCCTATCAAGCATGACATGAGCCTGAAAAGCAAAAAAGGTCTTTGGTTCCAAAAGCAAGAAGCCATAGCAGTGTTTTAATAAAGACGGTATATTTTGATGCTGCAACTCTGTATTCCAGACGTAGATGTTGGTATATGGCACAATGAGGTGCAAGGCTAAACAACAAGTCGAAGTAAACCGTCTTTAAAAGCCTTCGACATTAATGCTAGGGGGTAGTTTATGCCCTTGTGATTCAATTATATTCTTTGTGATTTAAGGGTCACGATTCAACTCAAGAGTCGTTTTTGTAATATTATGTATTTGAGTGAGCGGTCAGAGGGGTCATGTGAACACATGCCATACAATTTACATAAATCGAAGAACAGGGATTCTTACACATACAATTAAATGCGCATATCATGAGCTTAATAATCGATATGAATCAATTAAATAATGCATCATTACACCCCTTGGCAGTTGGTGTTAAAACTGCTCATGCTAAAATTACTAAACTACCATCTACAAGAATTCACACACAATGAAACTCTGTTATATTCGCAATACCCGACATGTTAAGTGCGATGTACATGTTCATACGGTTATGAAAATGTAGCACCGTATTGCACAATGGAAGAAATGTTTCAGTAACGTACACTAACTGTAATGACAATGAAGCCACTTTACGAAACACTTACCGAAGGGACGGAAGATCTCTCATTGTTTTCCTGCAAAAACAATAAAACATTAACAAACGCTGAAAATTCTACTTTAAAAAATACAAATGATTGTAAACGGAAACATGTATATTCATGTTATACGTATCATTGTCCACAAAGCAATATAATCCTGAATGCCCTTCAAATATGGTACTCGAGTACATTCAAAACGCAAATTGCCACATACTGTCTCTAAACCTTGAACAGGGAGGCACAATATCACTGGAAGCAGTGAGCCTAAGTGTCATAATCGACTCACCACAATGTGTTTGATTTGCGAAGCGACCAGAGACTTTTCATCCTCCAGCAATGCCACTTGAACTTTCACGTCCTCCAATTGCTTCCATGTCGAAATCTGTGACGTCCCCGCATGAGAAAAACAACCGACGTTTCATTTCCCGACTCCCACCAAACTGCTCCCAGCACAAAAAACATCAACGTTTAATGCGTCCCAATTCGTGGCGAAGATACACTGATTAGGCTCCATGAGAATACAAATACAGCATTGGTTTTGTATTATTTGGTTCTTTCGGTAAAGTCACGTAGATTGAAAAATAATAAAATAAAAAAAACCACTAATGTAGCCTGGTTATAAATCGGAGTGTACTGGCAGTCTATAATGTAGACTGTAGCCTGGTTTTTAAGCTGAGTGTACTGGCAGTCTATGATGTAGACTGTAGCCTGGTTTTTAAACTGGTGAGCATATTGGCAGTCTATGATGTAGACTGTCGCAATGGTTATTCAACTGAGTGAGCGTACTGGCAGTCTATAATGTAGACTGTAGCCTGGTTCTAACCTGAATAAAATAAAAATAGCAGTCACGAAAGTTTTAAGAAGTCATTGGTCTTGTGTCAGGCAGAGCGGGTGGAAAAGTGTCAGCGGATGGGGAGGTGCTGCCCTCTGCTGTATGGGGCAGATGTCACGAAGAGTTGAAGGGATCTCAGAGAAAGGCGAATGTGAAATATACTTTCGCAGCCGTGCCCTCATCGTAAATGTTACACTTGCCTCTCTACGAGATGTGGTTGATTAATCTCAAGGCAAGACACCGACGGTAAAATTCGGTATAAATTAAGAGAAAATAATCCAGACACCACTCATGCTTCGATTTAAAGCTTTCGTGACTGTAGGGATTCATCTTCTTGGTTCTTTCGGTAAAGTCACGTAGAATGGAGATAATAAATTAATTTTATTTTGTTTTAATTTTATTATTTTATTATCTCCATTCTACGTGACTTTGCCGAAAGAACCACGACCACTCATGCTCTTCACATCCTGTCAGCAGCTCCTCCACACTCGCCTATGCTTCCTGATCCACGCCTGGCTGCTGTTCATGTATCATTGCATTGTGATCGCATTCCAACGCAATGTGATGCATGCCATGGGCATGTTCTCGTGGCTCGCCCTCGGGCTGCCCGACGTTCCGCTCAACACGACTCTGACTCGCTGTTTCCCGTCTCTCATCCGCTGCTGTCAACCGTTTTGTATTCTAAATAGTAGCCAGATTGGTGTCAGCTTAAGAGTTTTCCTGCTCAAGTTGTCAAACAGAAAAGTGTTACAAGTTTTTTTTTTTATGTTAAATAATCTCGCGTGCGGGTCAGACAACTCGTCCTTTGCACTGCCTCCACTCTCGTCATCACCTCTCTGCCCGTGTCTCCTCTCGTCTTTTAATGCATTATATTGGGAGTCGTATCATGGCAAAACTCAATACATGTTGTTAATCACACCGCCTTGTGAAGGCAATAAGCGACGCTTTGGGCCATGGGCTTTCTTCGTCGCACCAGATGCGGTGTTGAACTTCTTTCGCGCACGTCCGTAGCCAAACGTGGTAATCGGTGCGGGGGAAAGGACAACAAAGTAAACACAACAATCAGTTGGAAAGAAATTCGTTTTCTATTTAAAACTCGGAGATGTAGCTCATGTGACACGAAGAGCCATTGCTGAAACACCGTGTATTGTTTCCCCGTGTGTTTTAGCTCGTGCTATGAAGGGCCATTGACCGAAACGTCGCATACAGTATTATAAATGTATCCTCTTAAGTTTCGATCCTGTTAAGGTCACGGTGTGATTGACGAATCCGTTGAGTCTTGTACATTTGTGCACCACTGCCAACGCATCACCATCACCACCACCACCACCAAATCATCCGTTTCGCATGGCAATCCACAGTCTGTCAGTCTGTCTCTCACGATGTCCTGCACGTCCCGTGCCGCCAGCTCGCCCTTGCGCGCCTCCACGTCGCTCGCCCACGCCTCGCCGTGGCTGCACACGTGCGCCATGTCCAGCTCCGGCCTCTCCGAGTAGCCGTCTCTCACGTGGCTGTACAAGCTGCTGCTGCTGCTGCTGCTAGCGCTGCTGCTGCTGCGGTAGCACCCGCGGCGGATCCTGCCCGTCGTCGTGGCCGGGAGACGCAGCGAGGAGGAGGAGGAGGAGAAGGAGGAGAAGGAGAAGGCGAGACGGCCACACAGCGAGGGCGAAAGCCGCATCACCAAGGGCGCCGCCATTGGGGCGGCTCTAACCCGGAAGTGGTGGCGGGCACAAGGCGGCCGATTCGGCAGCAGCCACATTCACCAACGCCGCTGCAGATTCGCGTCACTAAATATCGACTTAAAGCTGTCGTGACTGCAGGAATTAATATTATTTGGGTCTTTCGGTAAAGTCACGTAGATAAGTAAATAAAATTATAAAAAATAACAAAAAATTACTACGTTTCGATCATCGTAGTTTTTTTTGTTATTATTACACGCTTTTATTACACGCTTTTATTTAACTCTGTTGTTGTTGTCATATCCTCAAATCTTGTAACTCAAATTTAATACACTTCCCAATGTAGTATCGACTGCAAACTTGGTGTACTTATGTCATACTGATGACAATACTATATTCTATCATAAAAATATAATTTTTAAACATTATTTTGTACATGTTATGTTTCGTCTTGGGTCTAATTGTCCACACTCGAAATCACCACGGGCCCCTTACTTTGTGGCAAGCCTCAGAGCCACTTTCTGGAGTCGTGGAGTTCTGCCATTACTAGCACGGTACATTTCATTAAAGCGTTTTTAAAAAGTATTTAAAAATATTTTTTTCTTTGAACGTGACTTTACCGAAAAACCCAAAGAATATGAATTCCTGCAGTCACGAAAGCTTTAAGTCAAGATTTAGAAACCTTTGGTTAAGATGTTCAAACAGCAAGTAGAAACATTGTCCAATGAATCTTGTCTGCATTAACCACACGTACTTGTGGTGAACATGAAAACGTGCTCTGATCATACATCATACAGCATTGTCTTTGAAACGTATTGGTAGAGACAGAGCAGCCTTATACTGGTAGGAACCTCCTGGTTACACCAGCCCACAGGGGATTATTGTGTCCGTCGTGCAGGGAGGGGCTGGGTGGGGAGGGTGGGGCAGGGTTGGGAGGGGAGGGTGGGGAGGGTGGGGCTGGGAGGGGCTTGGTGGGGAGGGTGGGGAGGGGCTGGGTGGGGAGGGGCTGGGTGGGGAGGGGCTGGGTGAGGAGGGTGGGGAGGGGCTGGTCACCCCGTGGTGCCCTTATAAAACTCAACGTTTAACCTACTCACGCCGGCTTGTGCCCGCCCTCACAGTCGGGCATATTTGCGGAATACACCACGCCGCCGTTGACCCTGCAGGCCATTGACCGAGCAACCCAACGTTCCTACCAGCTCCCTCCGCAGGAGGAATGTGTTTTAGGACCTCGTCTAACCGGTGTCAGACCAGAGGATGTCAAAATGCGAACAGCACAAGGACAATTGAATCAAGTCAATAGTTTTTGTGCAGAAAAATAATAATTTTAGGAGTCGTTGTGTCTGATCGTAGATACAAATTGCAAAAAAATGGTAATATCAGGTTCATTATATTCATAAGGGACCGTCCATAAATGACGTCACGCACCTAGGGGGGGGGGTTGAGAGATGTGACGTCACATAAAAATGCGCAACTTTAAATACATATAGACAACACGTTCTACTTAATTAAATATACTTTTAAATAAATGTTTTCTCCTACAACATCAGAGTGCAGCACCACATTAAATAAGCACTACAATGACAATAGTTTAAAGCGATTTGAAGCATGTTTTATTTTTTTGGGGGGGGGGGGGGGCAAAGCTTTGTGACGTCTATTTTAGGGGGGTCTGACTTTTATGACTCCGTGTTACGAAAGGGGGGGGGGTCAAAAATCGTCCCAAATCGCTTGACGTCATTTATGGACGGCCCTAAGTACAATGACTGCCATGCCCATTGTGACTGTCGCTGGCCTGAACGTGTTACTGGCCCTTCACGTGCACACAGCCTGGCACAGCGCCGTGGTGACGTCACCGCCACGGTTGTTGTTGCTGTCGCGCGCTCCCCTTGCTAACATGGGGCTCAAGTCAGCGCGATATGCTATGACGTCACATAGCGCAGTGACGAGTGGCGCAATGACGTCATGTCACGGCGCGAAGTGGCCACGTTTTACATGGGGGGGGGGGGGGGGGGTGATGAACCGCGTGTTTTTCTTGTGTTATGAAACGTCCCAAACGTTCAATGTTTATTGTGATGATGATCTACACAAAGGGTGAAATCTCTCATACCCTGCGCCTTTACTTAAAGGGACACCGACAGGACCTACCATACGCTTGCGGCTTCAATTAAAGGAGCACTGTCGATATTCATTTCCCGTGTGCATGCGCTACGCCTTTAATTAAAGGGGCGCTGACAAGATTCCTCCCCCCATACCCTGCGCCTTTAATTAAAGGAACACTCATAAACAACCCCTTCACCACGGCTACCTTGTCCGGTACCCTGCTCCTTTAATTAAAGGGACACTGATAAACAACCCCCCCCCCCCCCCCCACCACCTTGTCTGGTACCCTGCTCCTTTAATTAAAGGGACACTGATAAACAACCCCCCCCACCACCTTGTCTAGTACCCTGCGCCTTTAATTAAAGGGACACTGATAACCCCCCCACCACCTTGTCTAGTACCCTGCGCCTTTAATTAAAGGGACACTGATAAACAACCTCACCACCACCTTGTCCGGTACCCTGCGCCTTTAATTAAAGGGACACTGATAAACAACCCCTTCACCACTACCACCTTGTCCGGTACCCTGGTCATTTAATTAAAGGGACACTGATAAACAACCCCTACCACCAACCACCACCACCTTGTCCGATACCCTGCGCCTTTAATTAAAGGGACCCCTCCGTGTCCCATACAAAGAGGGCGGCCGCTCTGGGCGACTCGGCCATTCGCGTCACGGCTGAATCCTCGAGCAGCGAGGAAGGGGGCGAGCGAGAGACGGAGCGAGGGAGGCTACCGAGAGAGAGAAAATAAAAAACAGCAGCCGCGTCGACTGAGAGCAGTGACACGGCGACGGGGAGACGCCGGCCTACACACACACACGAGCAGAGCGAGAGATCTAAACTCACGGGCGAAGATGGACAACAGCGGCAAGGAGAAGGAGGCCATGCAGCTGATGGCGGACGCGGAGAAGAAGCTGCGCTCTTCGCAGTCGTTCTTTGGGGGCCTCTTCGGGTAAATCTGCCTCTTCATCATCATCTTCTTCTTGGCGATCGCGGCACGGGCCCCCTCGCCGTCGCGGGTTTGCCCCGGCCCAGCGAGCCGGTCGGGGTGCCCCATCGCAGCCACTGCCCATTTAATTATCTCCCCGCGTCCACCCTCGTTGGGATCCTCCTGCTGCCTTGGGATGGCTTCGGCTCTCGGTGTTGTTCATTTTCCATCGAGGTGGAATCGATGAATCCATTTGGCAACAACAAAGCTGTCACCGGGTTAATGTCGCAATGGCGCACCGGGATAAACGAGCACGTACCGGACGTGTAATTGTACAGAGATCTGAGCGCTGGTAAATGTCAGTGTGTTTACACCGCCTCTTCCTGCCCCGTTTCGAGTAAATATAGAAACGTTGGAGCAACGCTGGCCGAATGTTCCATGTTTACTGGCTTGCAAAGGTCATGTGAGAATGGACCGAGTTGGCCCAACATTGGCTCAGTTGAGGCCCAACATTGAGCTGCGTGGTGGACAAATTTTCGTGGGGGCCCAAGATTGAGGTTGGCAGTGGCCCATCATTGAGGTCGGTGATGGGTCAATCTTGGGGCCCCAATGTCGGTGATTCTGCGTGTCTGCACCAATGAAGCGTTTCGTGTCAGAATCGTCATCTTAATTTATACTGGAGGAATCCGACGAGCTATAAAGCTATTTTTTTCACATGTCCAGCGCCTATCGTGGTGGCATCACGATCGGGTGACGGTGTCATTGTGTTTATGTGGATCTGTTGTTTAGATGGAAGCCAGCGGAAAGAGATGCTAAGTCCAGATGTCCGTATGAAATGCTGCATTGAGGGCGAGGGGTCTCTTGTTCGTTGGTAGCAGTGGATTCTAAAGCCTTTGGGTTAATGCGGTGAAGGCTTTTTCAGACATGCACTCCAAAGAGGCTTAAAACTATATTTAACTGGAGGGTTTTGTATATGTTCACATGTTTTATATATTTGAATATGTAATGAACAAATGGGACTCTCTTGGCTTTACGCATATGGGCTATGATAAACACACAATCTCGAGTAAACATTTATATTTTCAAGTACAGGGTATCACTTTTTTGTTTGGATCACTCCAGTTTGAATAAAGTACAAAATGCCAACGTTTTGTGCTTTGTTCGTAAGATGCTCGGTGGACAGGAAGTTAATTGACATCAGCTGACTTGGTGTTACGCCTATAAATGCCTATTGGCGTGCTAACACAGTCACACTTGCCTTGTCTTCACTCACGTGGCCTTCTCCGAGTCACATTGAAAATATTGCTCAATCGGCGCACATTCTCATTCACTCTGGAGTCGTATACAATAATATATGCTTTCTGAATTGTTTGCACAAATTAGCAAGGTGTTATTCCTGTGTCAGAACAAAAACATGTTTAGCCCCAGGTTTTCTTAAAAAAAAAACTGTTTATGTTATACAGTATTTGCCACAAAAAAACACTTCAAATTCTCTACATTTTAACAATCTGTTTTAAGCATTTAAGTAAATATTCTGCGAGAAAGTATTTTTTGTCGTGTGAACCGTTGACCACATTGTTAACATTCGGTCAATCATTGTGCACGGTAGGGTCATGTTGGTGTGTGATGTTGCTTCTCATTAACGTGTACTGTGTAGGGGCGGATCGTCAAAGCAGGAGGATGCTTGTGAAATGTATGCCCGCGCTGCCAACATGTTTAAAATGGCAAAGAACTGGAGCGGTGAGTGTGCATCGCGCATTTCCCAGAATAAGTCGCATGATGCATGTTTGAGCAGCTTACAGGCCTTGGTTTTAGTGTGGATGACACGAGCATCTTTGTATTAATACAAACCACTGAAAGCAAAGCCATTTCCTCATTTAATCTTGGTGTGTTGCTTTTCTAATTTCCAGCTGCTGGAAATGCATTTTGTCAGGCAGCCAAGCTGCACCTACAGTTGCAGAGCAAACATGATGCAGCTACCAACTTTGTGGATGCGGGAAACGCTTTC